CCTTGTTGATGATGGATTTCAAGAGAATTATAAAGGAGTGAAAAGTATAGGGAGAGACTGGTAGTATAGGTTAACTGTGGTCCATAAGATAACTGGATCCTGAAAATGAGTACTGAGTAGCACATAGGATACAATAAAAAGAAAGCACAAAGGGGCCAGAAGAAAGGTTAAGATAAAGGGGTGATTGTGCCTACAGGCATGAAATCAGTTTATTTGTATAAGAAAGACATAATCCCAGCCAATCCCTTTAAATCTTCAAGAAAGAGCTAACTTGGGAGATGCAGCCTTTTCCCAAGTCTATAAGAACCCCCAAATACAAGATCATCAAGAATACATAAAATGATCTGGGGGTGTAGCTCAATGGTAGAGCACATGCTTAGCATACATGAGATCCTGGGTTCCTTCACCAGCAAAACACACACACACACACACACACACACACACACACACACACACAAAGAATTAGGAAATAAGAAATATTATGATTGGCTTTGTGATGAATGGGTACCAACTAGATAAATACATCATCTAAAAAAATACAGAAGAGGATCTAACAGCTCCCTTCTAGACTGTATCTACTTGCTAGAGTTGCCATAACAAAATACAAGTACTGATAGGCTTAAAAAAATAAGAATTATCTTTTCAGTATTCTATAGGCAAAAAGTCTAAGATCAAGGTGTCCACAGGGTTTCCCTTAAGACTTTCCTCTTCTCTTGTAGATGTCCATCTCTCCTTGTGTCTTCACATGGTTTTCCTCTGTGTCCTAAATCTCCTCTTCTTCTAAGGACACCAGTAATGTTAGATTAGGACCAATCCTAATAACCTCACTTTAACTTAATCACCTTTAAAAACCCTATCTCCCCATCCGATCACATTCTGAAGTACTGGGGTTAATGAATTTTGAGGCTGATGAATCCCACATGCAGAGTTGCACCCTGTGCACCCACAAAACAGAGTTCCTGTAGAAAGATAATCCAAAGTGGGTGCTATCCAGCAGAAGGAAAGAGAATCACAAGCCTATGGAATAAATGTTAGTGCTTTCTCTTCTCAAATTCACAGAAGCAAAGAGCAGATTGGTGGTTACCAGGAGGTAGAAGAGAAAGATATTTGGGAGATTGGGTCAAATAATGGAAATTTTCAGGTTTTCTGGTAGAATCAGTTTCAGAAATCTATTGTACAATATGTTGATTATACCTAATAGCAATATATTATATACTTAAAATTGATGAGAGTATATTATAAATGTTCTCATCACAAGTTAGTATGTGAGGTAATGGATATATTAAGTGGCTGGCTTTAATTATCTCATAATGTATACATATATCAATACATCATGTTGTACACAACAAATATATTTTATTCATCAATTAAAAACCTCATAAAGAACTTTTAAAAATAGTGTCAGACCCTGTACATCTAAATAAGAGGGAAGAATTAAACAGATGATCCTTTAAAGTTAGTGGGGTAGGATTTTATTATACTTTGGCATTATAATGTGCCTCAGACATACTTAAACCTTGGTTTTAGAAAAGACTTTTGATCCTAAGGTATCACTAAAAATATCAAAGGAAGACCTGGGGGGAAGTTCCACTAGCTCAGTCTGCCTTGGTAATGAAATCATTTTGGAAATTAACCTAAATAGTAGTTTTCAGAGTGTTTTCTTCAGATTATCAGCATCAAAATCATCTGGAAACTTGTGAGAAATGCATTTCAGGCTCTATTCCCAGATCTATTGAATCACAAATTCTGGGGTAGGTCCAGCAATCCACGTTCACACAAGTCCACCAGGGGATTCTGATGCAATCTATAGTTTGAGAACCATGACTGTAAGCCTTTGTCTGATTCTGAAATTCACTTGTCTGTGCTACAAGCACTCATGTGTAGAAAAGTCCCCTTTAACAGATGAGCATTTGTTACCAGTTTTCTAAACATGTGATGAATTATATTAAATAACTTGATTTTTTATTTGTTCTCTTTAGATATACATGGCTGTAGAGTGTATTTTGGGATACTATACATACATGGAGTATAACTTATTCTAATTAGGATCTCTCATTCTTGTGGTCGCACATGATGTGGAGTTTCACTGGTAATGTATTCATATATGAACATAGATTTTTACTAAGAGTTACCCTTATGACCAAAATTTTGGGCTGGGTTAGGGAGGAAATGTGAGGCTCTGATACAAAAGGACACTCACCAGCAAACACTCCCCCCATAAAGAGCCAAACAATGCCAGCCCTGTTGACTTCTTCCTAATCTCATCCCATTCCCACCAACCTACTTAAACAATGATGGCWCCTCACTCAAACAAGTTCATGCACCAAATCACAATCTGGAGGTTAGGTGTGATTTTTTGGAGTGGGATAAGAGGAATTATTAATGAAAATTCCTTTCCTCCAACCAAGCACACATATGATTTTTTTCCTGAGGTTTGCTTTTGTGAAGCAGCCACATATCATTTAGGAGATGGTGATTTCAGCACCATGGAAAAGTGGATTCCTTTAAGTCCCCAAAGTAAAACTATCCCTAAGTGAACACTAGTGTCTGACTGGGCTACAGAGAAGTAAGCAGTGCTCCCAGGGAGGCTCAGGACCTACTTCACAATGCAAGGAAGGAGACCTGCCTTTTCATTATGAGACAGTCCTTTCAAAACTATCATCTGTATTTAAAAAAGCTTTTTGTTCCACTAAATTGTAATTTTTCAGTTCTATAAACTGAGCATTGATAAGTTATCATTCTGCCCCTTGTACAACACCACCTTCAGTTTGAGAACAAGAATAGCTCTTCCATGTTCTCCTGAAATGATTCAAATGTAATTTATCAGTTACTGGCCTCTGGTTACCCAAGTAACAGTCTATTTTAGGAGGACATTATACAGGTTTATTAGAGGCTTACATCTGAAAATTATCCTCAAGCTTAGCTATACTTTTTAGATGAGGTCTCACTGTGTTGCCCAGGCTGGTCTCAAATTCCTGGGCTCAAACAATCCTCCCTCCTCTGCCTCTCTATTAGCTGGGACTACATAACTGCACCACCATGTCCAGCTTTAGCTACATTTAAAAGAAATTGTTCAAGTTGCCCGATTTTATTCTCAACTAACCTGACCTCCTGTTCCTAAACCATACCTTGTGCTAACCAGTTATGTATTTATTTATGATCTCTAGATGTTAGAGGTTTCAACGTTTGTATTCTTTCAAATACATTTTATTGCTGAAACTCTAATGCAGCTTAATATAGCATCTGTATGGCATCTTTCATGAATGTATCTCCCATCCCCTTTTCAAAGTAACTTATTTATACCACAGGAGGCAGGAAGATTCCATAATCACCAAGTTTCCCATATTTCAAAGAGAAAAAATACACAGTTGAGACAAAATAATTTACCCCAATATATATAATAAATCATTGACTAAGCCAGAAACCAAACACAAGGCACTTCATCTAATACTATTCAATCCTCTCCCTTTATTCTCAAAGGTCAAAACTTATCACAAACTCCACACAAGACAGTCCTCTAAGTAATGCTAGCCATGTGAAAATGTCCACTTTTCCCTCTTCTTTGCTTAGATTAAGAATGCACCTAAAGCAGTGAACACTAGGTTTCCTTCCTTCCACAAGAATAAGCCATCCCCTGTCAAGCTACTTCTTCTAGACCCAAAACCTACTCTCAGCTCTTTTTCAAATCATTCAATACAAACAAGTTGTCTTTAACTCCAATGTGAATATATTATCATTAAGATTTCACAGTAGAATTTTAAAAAATAATTACATTTAAATTAAATAAAAATGATTTCCTACTAGGAAACAATTCAATGAAAACTACATTGTTTTCACATAGAGGCAAGGATTACCATCACCTGAAATAGAGACAATGCATTTTAACCTTTGTCAATAGATGATTTGCAATCAAGACACCTGATAAAGGAATAATAGCTGTAGTCACATGAACTAATGAAGGATCAAACCCAGGCTAATTATTTCAATGTTTCTTTGGAGAATGAAGCTGTATTGACATGACAGATACCTTGGGAGATGTATTTTCTCTGTCAAGTGACACAATCTCAGCTTCTAAGTCCATGTGTCAACATCAGCACCATGAGGCACAGTAGCCTCTGACAAATGCATTCAAGTATATTAAAATCACCAGAGGGTAAAGTATACTTTACAAAAACTGATTAACCAAGAACCAGGCAAAACTATCTGTAAATAAAGGCCAGTATCATTAATTTAGAAAAAAAGAAGATAAAAAATAAAGAATTACTGAGTGGCCAAGACATTCTAGGAACACTGAATGTCAAAATGAGTGAAATCCCAAACATGAGGAACACCCAATGGGAATCTTTAAAAAGACAAGAAAATTCCCTGGACTCAAGATTATCTGTTTTCCCCACTGGCTTGAGCCTTGGGCCTGGGGCCCTCCCTATTGGGCTAGTACAACTTTTCTGAGGCCTGTACTTCAAGGAGCAAATAACAAGGACAAGACTCCATCAAATTTTCAACCTCAACTTCTGTGTGTTCATTGGTTTCTCAGATTGGTATCTCTAGTACAAGGAAAAACATGAGAAGAATATGAAGGTGGGAGAAATTTTTTCTTAAAAAATAAAGATGAGGAGTTGAGACATGGTTAGAAACTGAGAGATTAAAACTCTAAAAATAGTATTCAAGGATCACAAAGAATGTGGACACACTGATTCTACTTGAGACAGAACTGTATCAGACCATAGGACTTCTGTTTCTTAGTCTGATTTTTATGAATATGACTAAACCAACTTTCCTTCTGTGGCTCTAATATGTACAGGTGAAAGTATTACACTGGCTTCAATATATAAGTTAATGGCAAAATAATGCCTTCAGCTACCCTATAATTAATTACATGTATACATGTTTATCCAACTGGGCAAATTTTACAACGATCTGGTTTCCCTTCAATGCCACAGAATGGAACTGAAGGGAGGTAAAGATTGCAGCCTTGATGAGTCTACAGCAGAAGATAGGACTCAGGCAAAGTATGCATGGCAAAAGACAGCTACAGCTAGCAGGATGATGCCGTTGATGTTCACTACTGTCCTCCACAAAGGCTTCTCAGAGGTGTCTGTCAGCTTTATCTTCATAGCTGCCTCCTCTTCCTTGGTCATCTTAGGTCCCTTCTGGTCCAGCCCACAGAACAGGTCATAGGCCCGCCTGAAGCACCCTTTTCTCTCCTCAGGAACTTCTGCATCAAGGGAAAGGCATAAAATAATTATTGGATAAAGAAGCAGGAGAGATGAGAAGGGGCTTCCAGAAAGATGSTACACCATGAAGCATCTCTATTCTGAAGAAATTTCTTAATTTTCTTATTTTCAGGAATAGGAGTAGTAAGTACAAGTACAAGACAATGTTGGATGGATTCTACATTGTCACAATCAACTAGCCTGAACTGTTTATCAGATAAATGAAATGTATTTTGGTTTAGAAAATTTAGATCAAGTGATAGTTTATGAGAGAGAAATGTTAACAATTGGCTGGTAAGCTGTGGTGTGAAGGACATGGAAAACCCACCTGTGAAATACATAAACTCATAGCTCTCTGCTGTGTTACTGGAAAGCAACAAGGCTGGCATGTCAGGAGTGAATTGGCTACAAATGTGAATTCTAAGCTTCCACATCAGATCCACCTGGATGGCAAAGAAAGGTCTGAACCGTTCCTGATGCAAAGTAGCAGTGATCAATACTTCTGGGCCTTAAGATCTGGTGTTGTATATCAATACTGATGAGTCAAACTATCCAAGTGGCCCTTAAACCCAAAGTGGATGCCTACCAGGGAATGGATTCCCTTCTGAGTTCATGTGTGGCACCAGAAGTAGGCAGACCCAGCTTACAATCTCTCTCTTCCACTCACTAATATGAGATCAAACACATTATATTTTTGGCACCATCTTCAGAAAACACTCTTCTGCACTTTCCCATTTTTACAAGTCACAGATATTTTAAAAACAGGCACAGAATTTTAGAACTGGAAACATCCTCAGTGATCCAGGGCACAAATATATCACAACTGGTACCAAGTCCAGTCTTGTGGCCTTGTTAATTCACTTCTTTATATTTTGGGTATCTGTAAAAGTAGATAAATACTGGCTTGTTTGCTTTATTAATGAAAATTTAATGATATATTTAATCTAATGATTTAATGAGAGGAAACTCATTACATAGTATATATTAATAAGTAAAAAGCTCCTCCCACTCTCTCTCTTTTCTCTCTACATGAGACATACCCTTTTGTACCTCTCCCATCTATTTGTTTCATCCCAGATGGACTCACTGACTAGCTCATGTGCCAAATAAATACATGGTTATCTGAGTTAATATAAAGTTGAGTGGTTTTGGGAAAGTATCTACATCTTATTTTTCTCATCTATAAAATTGGAAAAAGTATCTTTGCATTATCTGCCTTAAATTATGATATGAATACAAAATGTATCATTAAATGAGTAAGTTATTTATAACTAAATGTTATAAAAATGTCACTGTCAATCATATGATAATGGTGGTGGCGATGCATATGATAAGGGGGTGGTAATGCAATTGCCAGTCTTCCTCATAATGCTGTTTCTCAGAGAATGGTGATTGTGATACCCATGGTCCATCAAGAGAGCTTAATTTACTATGCTTTAGTATGGTAGAGTGTTTCTTATTATTTCACCATAAGTTATCAAAGAAAAACAATTCAAGTTCTTCCATGAACCTCAGAGGTTGCCAAGCTAATTCTTCTCCCAATGAGAGAGTCTCCTCTATAATATCCCTGAGAGACAAATATCTGAAACTCATCCCTTTCCAGATCAATTCACTAAGAAAACTCTTCCTTAAAATCAATCATATGGTGATAATTATAGTCAATTCTTAAAATATCCAAATAGAATACTCAAAGCTAAGGAACAGGAATTTTAAAAAATCAATTCACTTTTTATTTTTTAATGAAAAATAGAATTCATGATTCAGTATCAGTTCCACCTCATTATAAAAACTCCCCCTACCCTCTGTCTCAATAGGGATTGAATACAGGGGAATTCTATAACTCAACCATAGGCCTAGTTCTTTTTATTTTCTATTTTGAGACAGCATCTCATTTAATTGCCCATGCTGGTCTCATATTTGCAATCCTCTTGCCTCAGCCTCTTGAATCACTATGATTATATGTATGCATCACCAAACCCAGATCCATAACCTAGATGTACAATAGTCTACATTCTTACTCTGAGTTATAATTAGATGGATCCTTGAGTTCATCAGTTTCATATCTCTTCTCTGGTGCAAAAATTATCTCTTCTTCCATATTAACACTTCTTGATACTCAAGGCTCCTTATCCATGTCCTTCTAAAATCTGATATTCTCACTCAGTATGGAAACACTTTTTAAAGTAGAAGAGGAAGGGGTTCAAAGGGCTAAGGTGTAGTTTTGTGGTACAGCAGTGGTCTAGTAGGTGCAAGTCCTTGTTTTAATTCCCAGTATCACAAAAAGGAAGAGAACAAGAAAAAGAATAGCGGGGCATGTTCATGCCTGGCTGCTCCAGGAAAGCAGGAAGGAACTGCCTGATGTCAGCATCATGGACAGCTGCCTGTGGCTCCATGTTCCTCCAGTACCCACAGAGAAGCTGGTTTCAGAAATGAAATGTTCTTAGAGATTAAGAGCATATTGTATCAGGGCGAAGACCATTAACAGTCTCTCCCTCCCAGTGCCTCAATTTGTGTCTATAAAGTGAGATAATAAGATCTTAGGATATTTATGATGGCCCTTTCCAGAGCTAGAATTCTATGACATTCCTAATGGCCAGATTCAAAATTTTCTCTGCTTCATCTGGCGCTCTACTTCACATGGAGCAATGAGTGCTCCAGTCCAGTACCAGCAAAAGCATCTGATCTTGAGCTCCCCTACTTCTGCACACCACACACATCCATTCTCCATGTATGTATCTCACCAATATGGTGAGTAAAAGTTCCAACATTGAAGCTAAACAAGACATTAATTTAAAAGGAAAGCCTCTAGGCACTAACTAAGCATCATCTCAGGCTTCCAGAGAAATTTGATTTTCTAAGTCTGATATGGAAACACATAAGATCCCAACAGTCTCTATTCTTTTATTCTCTTAATGTTACTAGAATTGAACAAAGCTTCCCCCCCCCATCTTTTCTGTTTCCAAACTATGTCAGAAGAGCCCTGACCTGCCTCTTACCTATGACCATGCCCCAAAGCATGGTCAAGTCAGGGTGACAAACTTCTCATGCACTGATTCAATGAGCACTGTAAATTTGAGGGGTAAGGTAGCTGAAATGTCCCTGTACCTCCCTTCCTTACCTCAACCAAGCCTCATCATAAACTTTCCAAAATCCACTTATCCATCTCATCTTTCCTCATTCCTCCTAGGGAAGGGATCTGAGCTCTGATGAAGGCATTTAGTGAAAGCTTTACACAGTCTTGCTGTTGTAAGAGTACTTTTTTTGAACCAGGGTTTGAACTCAGGGGCACTCGACCACTAAGTCATGTCCTCAGCCCTACTTTCTATTTTATTTACAGACAGGGTCTCACTGAGTTGCTTAGTGCCTTGCTTTTGCTATATCTGGCTTTGAACTCATGATTCTTCTGCCTCAGACTCCTGAACTTCTGGAATTACAGGTGCACACCACCACACCCAGCAAGAGTAACTTTTTATGGCTTGGAAATCAGCTTTGACTCATAAATCACCTATTTCAATGGTATCCTTCGGGGATTCCTGGAGGTCCTCCTCTTCTGCATCCAGGTCAATACGTTCTTCTGTGCTGTTGCGAAGACTCCAACACAGACGATGGAGCTATGGGAAAACAGAGGAAAAAAAAGTTAACATAAAAATCCAGTGTCTTCAGCCAAGCAATAGGAGAGCAAAGAGATAACAATCAAGAAAGGAAAAGCAATGTGGACTCTTAGTACCAACAAAAAACATAGATTACATTTCTCACCCACAGCATAATCTCTCAATATGTTGGAAACTTACATGTAGATAATACCCATGTATACATGATATATGGATATTCATAAGTTAAAGAGGCTGCCTCAAATAAAGAAATGTTTGTACAGTGATTATTTTTACACATGATAAATGAATTGTTCCTTTTAGCATTGGTACTAGGAAGCAAGACTAGACAAAACGACCATTTGTCCAGATCAGCAGTGTGAGGTCATAATTTTATACTATGTCATATTACAGGGATAAAAATATGCAGAGGGATACATCAAGTTGGTAGAATAGAGACAGCCAGCACTAGTTTGCTCCTCCGTGGGATGGAAACAAAGAAAAACATTGTGTAACTGCTCACAGAAGTAAGGAACTATGAGTGAACACTGGAAATTGGTAGCACAGAAAATTAAACCTGATGAATTCCAGAGACAATAGAGAATAGCAAAGCAAAAAAGGTAGAATACCCCAGCTCCTGGTGCCTGACACTCTAGTCAGGGGAAAGCACTGATTCCTGCAAGGAGGTAAAGTCTACAGAAAGGGTCATGGCATGGCATAGAAGGATGTACCCTGCAGACTAACAGCTTAAATAAAGACGACCTGGAGTCTGCTTAGCAAGCTAGCTTTAAAGAAACTGCATCTCTCAGCAAACCCTCAGAGTGCTATGGCGAGGATCCAACTTGAGTAGGGTCCTATTGTTAGGGACTAATCAGCTCTGGGGTCAGAAAACCCAGCAAAATCACATTTCAGTGTCCCTATGAGCATTCCTGTGCACTTACTGGGTATGCAGTGGCCAAATGAGCTAGTATGACTTGGAAGGGTGTCCCTGACAAAATTTTGCTGAGAAATTTATGCAAGTATTTATTTATGATTTACTTATTTATGATTTATTTATAAAGGGAACATAGACTGCAATATATATGAGAATGGATGGAACAGAAATTCAGCAGTTTTCCCTTGTGTTACTTGAAATAACCCCAGAAGTATATTATTTTGGAGGCCAGGTCTGAAGTCATGAGGATAGAGGTCAGCAAATCATTTGGTTCCCACAACCAAAATTACAGAACAAAAAATAAAGGCTGCAATAGAGCAGTGCAGACTCACTATTCAAACCAAAGCAGATTTCTCAGTGGAAAACATTATCACCAGGAGGGTATGGAATGATGTATTTCAACTACTGAAAGAAAGTAAATGCCAATCTATATTAGTATACCCAGCAAAGTTATTCTTCACATTTGAATGATAAATAAGGACCTTCTATGCTAATCACAAACAAAGCGAGTTTATGGCCATGAAGCCAGCACTGCAGAAGATACGTAAGGGACTTCTATACCTAGAAGAGGAATAATGATAAACACAATCATGAGAACACAGGAAAGAATAAATCTCACTAAAAGAGCTGATAAGCAAATAACAATTAGGAAAAAAAACCAAACTTAATTAATGTGTAAAACCATCAATCTTCTAAGATGAATAAGAAAAATAAACATAGAATATCCAAAACAACCAGAAGCTAAACAACAAAATTATATAAACCTACACATACATTTCAACAGTAATCCTGAATGTAAATAGTCTGAATCCTCCAATTAAAAAATACATACAGGCCAACTGGATTAAAAAATAAGATGTAGCAATCTGCTGCATACAAGAAACTTATGTCATCATCAAGGGCATGAACAGACTAAAAGTGAAAGGATGGAGAATGATATTTCAAGCAAATGAAATATGAAAGCAAATAGCAATAGCTGTACGCATATCTGACATAACTGACTTTTAGCCAAAATTTGTCAGAAGAGACAAGGAAGATCGATACAGATTGATAAAGGGAACAATTCATCAAGAAGACATAAAGATCATAAATACATATGTACCAAATGTCAGGGTACCCAATTTTGTAAAACACAGACTATTGAATATAAATGGAGAGATAAGATTAATACTATAATAGTAGGTGACTTCAATACCACACCCTCAGCAAGTGATAAGATCACCCAGACAATAAACCAACAAAGAAACATCAGAGTTAAATTATACTACAGATCAGATGGACTTAATATACAACCATAGAAATTTCACCCCAAAACTGTACAACACATATTTTCATAAGTACATGGAAGATTTTCCAAAATAGATAATATATTAGGCCATAAATCAAGTCTTACATATACCAAAAAATTGAAATAATTTCTTATATCTAATCAGATCATAATGGAGTGAAACTAGAATTAAGAGGAAGAGAAACTACACAGAAATTATACAAACACATGGATATTGAACAATATACTTGTTTTGGGTAGTATGGGGCTATTCTACCTCTGAGCTACATCCTCAGCTCTCTCTTTAATTTTATTTTGAGACAGGATCTCACTAAGTTGCCCAGGCTAACCTCAAACTTGTGATCCTCCCTGACAAGTATCTGGGATTATAGATGTCACCACCACACCAAGCTGACAATACACTTTTGAATGTACAGTAAGTCATTGAAGAAATTTGGAATGATATTTAAAAATTTCTAGAATCAAATGAAAATGGAAATATAACATATCATAATTTGTAGGATATAATGAAGACAGTATGAAGATGAAAATTTAGAGCTATGAGAGTTTGCATTAACAACAACCAAAAAAAAAACCCACAGAGATTATAAATAAATAACCTAAGCAATGCAAGGCCTTAGAATGACAAAAACAAACTAAACCCCAAGTCAGTAGAAGGACAGAAATAATAAAGATTAGGGTAAAAATAAATAAAATAGAGACTAAATGAATAATACAAAGATTTAATGAAACAAAGAGTTGGTTCTTTGAAAAGATAAAATTCACAAGTCCTTGACTAAACTTACTAAAAGGAAGAGAAATAAGACCCAAATAAATAGAAAGAGATAAGAAGGGGAATATACAATAGATATCATTGAAATTCACTGGATCATTTGGGAGTATTTTTTTTAAAAGTATATGTAAAACAAATTGGAAAATATCACAGAGATGGACAAATTTTTGGACACATATAACATTACAAAATGAATCAAAATAGAAAATAAAACTAAAAAGCCTAAACAGATCAATAACAAGAAATGAGATTGAAATAGTCATAAAAAGTTTTCTAACAAAGAAAAATTCAGAACAAACAGATTCACTGTTGAGTTTTGCTAAATTTTTAAAAAAGAAATAATGCCAAATACCAAAGCTCCTCAAAATATTCCATAAATTAGAAAGGGAAGGTACCTTTTAAACCAATTCTACAAAGCTAGTATCACCCTAGTATCATAACATGATAAAGACACAACACACATACACATAAGGAAACTATAGATCAATATCTCTAATGTCATAGTCCAAAAATTCTCAATCAAATTGTTGCGACTTGAATTCAACAGCACATTAAAAAGATAATACACCATGAACAAGTTAGTTTCATTTCAGTGATGTAAGAATGGTTCAACACACACAAATCAATAAATGCAATACAGTATACAAATAAAACCAAAGACAAACATCACATGATCATCTCAATAGATTCAGAAAGAGCCTTTGATAAATTGTGTATCTCTTCATGATAAAAATTCTGATTATAATTAGATATGATAGGAAAATCAGAATTTTGTTGAACTTCCTTATACTTGTTTAGAATATAGTATTGTTTTTAGTCTGAATTACATAATGCTTTAATTAACAAGGATCATAAAATTCTTATTCTAGCCCTGTCTGTTGAGAAGGCATGTTGGAAAGTGAAGAAAAAAACCTGATTTCATTAGGGATAGAAGTATCATATGTCAACACAGTAAAGGCTCTATATCACAAGCCCATAGCCAACATCATTCTGAATGGGGAGAATAAAAGCATTTCCTCTAAAAATCAGGAAAATATGAGAATGTCCACTCTCATTACTCTTATTCAATATATAAAATTTCATCCGGAGCAATCAGGCAAGAAAAACAAATAAAAGAGATTCAAAGAAAAAATGAGGAAGTCAAATTTCCCCTGGTTGCAGATAGTACAATTTTATACTTAGAAAGCCCTAAAGACTATACACATACACACACAAAAAAAAACCTTTTAGAACTGATAAACAAATTCAACAAAATAGCAGAATATAAAACCAAACATATAAAATCGATAACTTTTTAATACACCAAAATGAACTTCCTGAAAAAGAAATTAGAAAAAAAAACTATTCACAATAAGTGAAAAAAACACAAATAAATAAAATATTCAGGAATAATCTTGACCAAAAAGATGAAAAAATTGTACAATAAAAATTTTAAAGCACTGAAGAAAGAAATTGAAGAAGACACTAGAAGGTGGAAAGAACACCAGTGGGAGAATGAATATTGTTTAAATGAATACACTACCAAAAGTGATCTACAGATTCAATATAATCCTCATCAAAATACCAATGACATTCTTCACAGAACTAGGAAAAACAATACTAAAATTCATATAAAAGCACAAAAGACCCATAACAGCTAAAGCAATCCTGGACAAAAAGAGCAACACTGTGGGCATGATTCCTGGTTTCAAAATATACTAAGAGCAATAATAATAAAAATAGAATTGTATTTAAACAGAATAGAGGACTCAGAAATAAATTCATGCATCTATAGCTAACTGATCCTCAACAAAAGTTCCAAAAACATATGTTGGAGAAAAGACAGCCTTTTAAACAAATTATGTTGGGAAAACTGAATACCCACACGGAAAAGATTGAAATTAGGCCCCCTGTACAAAAATCAAGTCTCACCCTGTATAAAAATCAACTCAAATAAATAAATAAACTCGAAATTAATCAAATATATTAATGTAAGACCTGAAGCTTTTAAATGACTAGAAGAAAGCATAGATATTGCTACAGGCAACAATTTCCTGAATAGGATTCCAATAGCCAAGGAAACAAAATAATTGAAAAACAGGATCGCATCAAATTAAAAAGCTTCTGCACAGCAAGAGAAATAATCATCAGAGTAAAAAAAAAAAACAACCTACAATATAGGAGAAAAAAATCTTTGCTAGCTATTCATTTGACAAAGGATTAATATCCAGAATATATAAATATTTTTTAAAAGTTAACAATAAAACAATCTAACCAAGAAATGAGCAAATGATGTGAACAGATACTTCTCAAGAGAAGAGTATGAATAGCCAATAAATATGTTTTTAAATGATGAATTTTTTATTCATCAGGCAAATGCAAATCAAAACTATACTGAGATTCCTTCTGACTGGGGAGTAGTCAGAATTGCTAATATAAAAATTAAAAAATAAATTATAAATGCAGGCAAGGAGGTGGAGAAAAAAGAACCCTTATACAATCTTGGTAGAAATGTAAATTAGTTTAGTCACTATATAAATCAATACCACACGGATTTTCTCAAAAATCTAAAAATAGAACTACCATACAATCCAGCCATATCAATCTGGGTATATATCCAAAAGAAATAAGTCAGCATAACAAAGAGGTAACTGCACACCCATGTTTATTACAGCACTATTCATAATTGTAAAGTTATTGAATCAGCCTAGGTGCTCATCAACAGATGAACAGACTTTAAAATGGTATATTTACACTATGGATATCATTCAGTCATAAAGAATAATGAAACCATGTCATTTTCAGGAAAATTGATGGAATTGGAGGATGTTAAGTGAAATCAGCCACACAAAGAATAAGTGTGGCATGTTTTCTCATGCCCATTAGTACCTTGGTTTTTCTACTTTAAAATGAAACAGAACTAAATGTGTTTGGGGCTGCAAGACTAAGCATGGGGAAGCAGGTGATAGTTTTATCAAAGAAAATTTGTGACAGTCAATTAACATCATGGTGATTCTACAGTTACAAAATCAGTTTTTATTTGACATATAGTTTTGTCACAGCTTTTGAAAATTTGGCAATGAGGCTGAAGGTCTGTTAATAATTCTATAGATCCTTGTATTCATGTATGCATGAATAAAGTATTAATAAAAACTTTTCTCTTTTCTATGGGTATATATGATCTTGGGTTAGCTTTCTACCTTTGTTCCCTTGGAAACCTGAAAAAGGTGGAATACCATTTGGATTGGTTTTGCAGATTTATATTGCTTATAGTCCCATAATTACTAATTTTTCTAGATTTGGAGGGATACAAGTGAACCCTAAATCAATGGAAGCATCTAGATTTAAAGAAGAATGCTTTTAATTTATGAAGTCTTAAATCAACTGGACCTTGATATTATGCTATGATTTGAATATCAGCTCCAAAACTTATGTTGAAATTTAACTGCCATTGTGACAGTATTAACAGGTGTCAGCATCCTACAGTGATACAGGCACATCACTGTTTATAGCAGTGCAATTCACAATAGTCAAGTTATGGAACAATCCCAGGTGCCCATTAACAGATGAATCAATAAAGAAAATGAGTCATGTATACACAACGGACTTTTACTCAGCTATAAAGGAGAATGGAATAATGCCATTTGCTGGTAAATGGATGTAATTAAAGAACATCAGGCTAAGTGAAATAAGTTAGATTCACAAAATCAAAGGTCAACTGTTTTCTTATACAAGCAGAAATTAGAAACAAGGGGGAAACAGGGTTGGAGAATCCCACAAAAACAGAAGAAAGGTCAGTAAATTACAGAAAAGGGATTAAGGGTGATAGAGGATAGATGGGAAAAGGGAGGAACTGCAGAATTGAATTGATCAAGTTATGCTATGTACATATATGAGTATACCACATTGAATTCCCCTCCATGTATATCTACAAAGCACCAATTAAAAACAATGAATAAACAGAAGTAAGTTCAGTAGAGTAGAGGAAGAAAACTGGGACAGGAAGGACAGAAGAAAATATGCAACTACTGAGGATTGAAATGGACCAATTATATTCCATATATGTATGAATATGTCACTATTGAACATATGAACCCCACTATTATTTATAACCATAATACACTAATAAGAACTTTTTTTAAAAAAAAAGGATAATTAGATCATGAGGACTCTGTCCTGATGAGTGGATTAAATCTACTATTGTGGGAGCACTTTTCTGATAAAAAAATGAAGTTTGGCCTCTATTAATTTATAACCTTCTTTAATTCTTTCTTGCCATATAATGACTTCCATGAGGTTATGATGTGGCAAGAGGCTCCTTACCAGGTGCACCCCTCAATCTTAGACTTACCAGACTCAAGGACAGAAATGAAATAAATTTTATTACTTATAACCTATCCAATCTGTGGCATTCTGTTATAGCAGCAGTAAACAGACTAAGATATATTGTTAGAAATATCTTGAATTTTATAAACAACTCTTTGGCAGCTTAAGAGGAAAATATCAAAAGGTAAAATATACTACAGATTTCCCTGAGTTTAGAAATTTTTGTAACCAGGCCTCAGAAGCTTCAACTATGGGAAAGTTACAGGAAACACCAGTTCCTATTTTGAACATGGGTTTCTGAGCCATGGTAGCCCCGTGCTTGCTCATGTGATCTCATTTCCCTTGCACATGTACTATCACTCAGGGAGTAGGATCCAGAGACACCCCCACCCCCGGACTGAAGTGTGGACTGTCAAAAGATTCCCATTAAAAATGCACTCTTGAAACTTCCTAGCTGGCATACCATGTTTCCTATTCTGTGTCCTTCTACATAAAACTAAGGGCAAGTACAAACCATTTTATTCATGCAGATGGGAGATGTCTAGTTGAGCTGAGGTCAACCAAGAGTGCTGCAACATGAATGTGAAACAAGGACAGACGAGGTCTTCTGAATGGATACTCACATGCACATCTGGAATGGGCTTGGTGAAGAGGGAGATGACCACAATGGTGATGACAGAAATGACAAAGAGGATAATGGCAAAATACAAGTAGTGGACCCCACAGATAATGGTGGGACAGTTGCTGGGCTCCATGCAGCTCCCAGTTCCATAGGCAAACTCAGTAATCATACGGGAAATTCCAATCAGAAATCCTAGGATGAGTCCCCAAAAGGCTCCCTGTGAAAGAAAACCCTGAATTAATGAGTGCTGAACCCACAAAACAGGTGGGAATTCCAACATTCCAAGAGATGGGCAGAGGCAAAGGAATAAAGCTGAGAGAAATGCTAGCTCTAGACCATCTGAAGCCAGGACATCATGGTGCAGGACAGGGCTGGGATTGTTAAGTCAGGCTTCCAGGGGGTCTCTCTATCTTGTTTCAGCAGCATGATTTCACCTGCATCATTAAACAAGGACTCATAATATAATGGGGTAAAGTGATTAATAACTTATATAGAATTTTAATCTCCCCTAAATTCCAAAAATTCCTTTTAACTTAAAAAATATTTGAACTCTCCACTTCATCTATAGTCCCCACCTGCCTCCAGATTTACACCTATTCAGATATAAAGTAACTACTTGTAAAATATTTTGTCTTCTTTGAAGACACTGAAAAAAATTAGGTATTTGTGGGGTAGAGAAAGTAAATTTTCCATATATAAATAATAATTCTTCCTTCTTTAGTCCCTGTTACAAATAAAAATATCTCTTTTTAGTTTAATAACATAACATTATATAATGCATTTTGATATCAAATTTGGGGTTTGTATATGAGATACACAGAAATTTTCCAAAGACTAAAAGAGGGGACTATTTTTTCAGAGAATTTTTTAGACTCTTCTTTCTTCTTCCTTTCCTTTCTTCCATATCTTTTCTTTGCTTTCTTCCTCCTTTTTTCTTTACTTTCCTTCACCTTTCTTTCTTTGCTTCTTCCTTTGCTTGCTTTTTTTTTTTTTTGCCTTTTGGTCTGCACTCACTTAAGGTCCATATCTATTTTTGAAAGCTACATATTAAGTGATCAAGTGGCAAATGAGAATGTGCAATTAGAATGGTGGACAAAATGAATCTTCATGATTTTATCAAGTATTGATCAGTCCCTTAGCTAGCCACAGTTACTCCTACACTATAATCCAAGTGTGTTAAATTAACAGCTATTCTTTAAGTATGCCATGTATGTTTATGTCCTAGGACCTTTGTTCGGGTCATTCTTTCTATCTAGAAGACTTGGGATAATTCTCTTCCTGGTAAATTTCTCCTGTCTTAAATACAATAAAATAGAGAGAACTGGGTGGGTTCATTCTCCTTGTGTGGCCACAACACTGTGAACACACCTCCATGCCAGCCCAACTCTCCTGCCATGCAATCACTCATTCAGTTCTCTGCCTCCTCACTTGAACTGGGAGTTTTCCCAGAAAAGGAACCAAGTTTCACTCACTTAATGTAGCTAGTGCCTGGTACCATGCCTGGTATCTGAAATTGTCTATTAAATTAATAAATGAGTAAGAAAAAAGGTTTCTCATTCATCCCCCATAATGTATTCCTTAAAAAACATTTTAAAATTTTAGTTAGTATGAATAATTCTGATAAAACTTACCAAGAATTTTTTTCATTTTTGGCAATTAACTTGTATTCCTTTATCATTACTCTCAAGTGGCTCTTAAAAAAACTGATAGCCTTTCATATTTTCTTGTGCATTTTAGGATATCCCTGACAACTAACCACTAGATATATGCAGGGTTCTCAGAAGCAAAACTATCAAAAATGTTTCCAGACATTGACAAAGTCCCCCTTGAAGAGGGTGAAAAAACACCTCCAATGGAGAATAAATATGGTCTATCTCAATTTTTAGCTTTATTTTTGAAAGCACTGGTCTATTACTAAATTAGATATTCTTGTGGCCTAATATAGTACCCACCTGGGCTCTTAGTTGACAATTTGTATTTTAGAAATATTCCAGGGAACCAGCTTTCTGCTAATAACTACTGAAATTTGTCCAAAGATATTCATCTATGTCTCTGTTGAGATTACTTTCTTGTTTAATTCTGATTTCTCCAAGGTATCTGTGTGCCCAGTTTTGAATAACTGGATTATCTTTCTCATAGCACAAATGTGGAAAGAACAGATATACCTGTTGTATTTTGTGTACCTCAAAACTGGGTTTTTCCACTGAGGTACTTCCCTGATGCAGTATATATCTGTTTCTGTCCTTTTGAGAGTGAAAAAATGTTTCCAATTAAAACTATGTTACCAATTTTATTTTATTCTTTCAGATAGTAAGCCACATGGTCAGCACTGCTGCTCTTTCTCAGTCCTTCCCAGGTAGATAGATGGTTGGAAATAGAGACAGCTGAGCAACACCCCAGTCATACAACATATCCAAAAGCATCTTTCTCATTGTTTTTTAAAAACAGCAATGCCACCCCACTGTTGGCTTAAATTCTTTAACCTGGCTTTCAAAGTGATCATTCCTATTCTAACTTTGACCTGCTTTTCCAGCTGCATATTCCATTATTCACAAACTCTCTCTCCAGCCAGGTAAGATTCCTTGCAAGTCCCTTGTCTTCCCCTTATCCTTTCTTTTCCACATTGGGCAAATCTCTTCTCTCTGCTTAAATTCTTTCTCTTTCTTTTACAATTTTAAATCCCTCCAGATCCACTTTTCCAAGGTATCTTCTCAAATGATTTCAGCACATGTTGATTGATACAGCCTTTCCTGAATCTCTTCCTATTTACATTTTGAATCAAATTTTTAAAAATGCCTCAATTCTTATCTATCTTACATTGTTTTTCAGATAAAATGTTTGAGCAACAGGACCTTTTCCTTCACTGGGTCCTGAACAGTGCTGGCTGAAAAACCAAGTTCAAACCATAGTCACTGGAAGTAACTTATGCTAGGATTTCCTGTGGAGCTGCTCACCCAGAGACTACAAACTTCATAGGAGGCTCCATGAGGTCAGGTCAGAATCACCAAGGTTGGATAGAAAATGTACAATATGAGTTGGGACCCTGTACCAAGAAGAACAGGGTACTTATAGAGAAAGTAGACCCAGTATTAACTCCTGAGGAGTTTATTCCAACTCTTAGAGAGTCCCCATGGTCCATAGAGACTTTCTCATATAAACCTTTAGAGGTACATCCATTTCTTCTTAAGATCTCTGGGAAACAGAATCCCTTCCACAGAGAATATACCCATATAAAATTCTGTGGCAGACTGACTTTTCTGAACATGTCAAAGCAATACCTACAGGTTCAGTGATTCTCTTCCAGAAAACAGCAAGCAGGAAGACAGCTGCAATGGGTGGTCCCAAGTAACTGGTAATGGACTGGATATAATCAAAGAGCTGCCCACTTTGCGCTGACTGCACAATGGGCACCCAGGCAATGCTGATGGCAATCAGAAAGAGAATGAACAACCTGAAATCAAATTCCCCATGACAGAATATTAATAAATAATCCTACATAAATAAATATATATTACTATGTGTCCCACACATATATACACACGTCACTTTCAAACATATATATACATATGTATCTGTACAAATACATATATAATATGACCACAGAAAGGAAAAGTAATAAGCAAATTCATTCTTGAGTCTTTTTTTCTCCCTATTCATCTGTGGCTATGGGTAAGTGAAACACACTTGGTTTTTGATAGTCATTTAGGCCAAATCATTCCCATATAAAAATCCCACTTTGGGAGGCAGAAGTGTACAGGAACAAGGCTATATACTTTGGAGCAAGGCAGTTCTGAATTAAATTTTTTTCTATCTTTGTGTTTAGCCTCTCCCTGAATCTCAAATTCTCCAACTCTAAACAGAGAAATATGTGACTGACCACAAAAAAAAATTGGAATAAGCATTAGTGAGAGTAAAATGCCTCCCAAACAGTAGGCATTCAATAAATAGTAAAAAAAAACTATTGTTTTATTTAAAAATCTATTGTTATTATTTTCTCCTCCTTCCTCATAATAAAATTTAAAACAAGCCAATGAAAGTTTATAAAGGAACAGTCTGGATAGGAAGGGACACAATTAGGTATTTCCAGCTCTCTCCCTCTTGAGCTTTACCATGTCCTAAAAAGATTGGTGAGTCTCACATAAGCTCTTATTACTTGGCTCTTGATTTAACTATAAATTAAGGGGATCCTTGTGAACATAGAAGAAAGAACAGCAGAATAGAGGAAGAGGATTGAGGAGAGGGAGGAGGGATGGAAAAGGGGAGGAACAGCAGAATGAAATTAACCAAATTATGAATATATCACAATGAATTTCATTTTTTATATAACTGTAATGCTCCTCTTTAAAAATAAAAACCAACAGGGGCTAGAGTTGTAACTCAGTGGTAGAGCATTTGCCTTTCATGTATGGGGCCCTGGGTTTGATCCTTGACATCACATATATATAAATAAGAAAATAAAATAAAAAATCCATTGCAATAAAAAACATTTAAACAACAACAATAAATGAATGCAAGGAAGAGCACTAGAGTAGAAGAAGGGAATCAGGAAGAAGGAGAAGAGGAGGGAAAGGGGAAGAACTGGGGATTGAAATGCAGCAAATTATGTTATATGCCTCCAAGAATATGTACCACTATTATCTAAAACTGTAATACACTAATGAAAGCAATTAAAAAAGGCTTTGATTCACTTACTTCACATGTATTTAAGGCAAAAGAGTCTTAAACTGACCTTCTTAAAGTTGTGTTTTTAAATATTTCTCACTCTGAAATTTCCGCCCATTGCCCCCTATTTACCCAAATTCTACCTATCACTTTGAACCCAGTTAAGGTTCTTCCTCCTCCAGGGCCCTTTCCCAGGTATGCCACACTACGCTCACCTCTCCCTTATCTGAGTTCCTAATTGCTCTTACAATTCACACAGCAGAGTTTGAAACTGTTTCACTTCACTCTGAGCTTTTACAGGAGACTGAGATAAGCCACAAGATAAGTAGTTATGGGATGTAAGGAAGTGTGAGACCCAACACAATCTTAGGACTAGGGGATCCAGACCTGTCCAAAAGCAACAAAGTAGTCTTCTTTCCCATTTTGTATTTGAGTCTGATAAATAACAAGGAGAGTTAGTAAGTGCCTTTTTAAGTGAAAGCCAGTCAAGGTAGTAGTACTATTTTCTATGATACAAAGTAGTAGATTCTGGGCTGGTCAGATCTCCCTTGGCTGCCTTTCTTTAGCCCAGAGACCTGTGAAGTGGCAGCCCATATCCCTCCTGAACTCATTGGGAATCTTTTCTTTAACTAACATCCCAGGGTTTGTTCCACCTGACCTAAGGAGAGTGCTTTAGCCCCCTGAAGAGACATATAAACAGTCAGGCACACATTGTAATCCCAGTGACTCAAGAGGTTGATTTAGAGAATCACATTTGAGGCCAGCCTGGACCATAGAGCAAGACACTGTCTCAAAATTTAAAAAAAATAAAGGGTTGAGATTGCAAGTCACTGGAAGAGTATCCCTTGGACACATTCCCAGTACCAGGGAGATCAGGGAGAGAGGGAGGTGAGGAGAAAGAGAGAACAGACACATAAGCATATCTATGAATTCTGTGTCCAGAACACCTGTTTAATAGCTAATGATGATAATGAGCACACCTGATCCATTTGACAATGTTTTGATATTTTCAGAATTCTGTTGATAAATTCATTTATGACAGTCAAAAATGTAGAGCATTGATGACTTCCAATTCTCCAGTTTAAAGTTAAATATTACTGAAGGGTAAATATAACAAACCACCAATATCACTCTACCAGCACTGTCCAATCTTGCCTAGCTGATCATTTTCTGATCATTCAAGCTTTTGACTGTATTTACCTTCCTGCAATCATGAGCTCTTTCTCAGATGCTTGCTTCCGGATCTTCGTGTAGATGTCCATGGTGAAGAGGGTGCTGGCACTGTTGAAGATGGAAGTTAGGGAGCTCATGAGAGAAGCCATCATGACTGACAGCATCAGGCCTCGCAATCCTGGAAGACAAGGAAGGTCTGAGTGGCACATCTAGTACTTCAGCAGGACTCAACTTTTGTTTGCTTCTGAAACTGTGTCATCTCCTCTAGCTTATGTTTCCAGAAAAAATAAATGTTTTAATTTGCGCATTGTGGTGCACACCTGTAATCCCACTGGATCAGGAGGCTGAGGCAAGAGGATCACAAGTTCAAAGCCAGCCTCAGCAATTTAGCAAGGCCCTAAACAACTTAGTGAGATCCTGTCTCTAAATAAAATATTTTTTAAAAGGGGTTGAATGTGGCTTATTGGTTAAAAAGCCCTGGATTAAATACCTGCTACCAAAAGCAAAACAAAACAAAACAAAATGTTTTAAGGAATAGACCATGGCTTTAAATTATAATTCCATGACAACCAATAAGGCTCTAGATAAAAAAAAACATGTATGAGGTAAATATTTCACAATTGAATTATAATGATGGTGATGGTGGTGGTGGTGGTATTTCCAGTTGAGGGATTTTTTTATATGATCTTTCACTCAAAAGATTCATGATATAGCTCAAAGACATTTAAATGAGGATTCAAAAGATAAGTTATCAAGAAAATAAAAAGACAGCTATGGAATGGGAATAAATATGTACAGTTCATATATCTGCTAAGGACTTACTATATAGACCATATAAATAACTACCATAGCTCAATAATAAAAATACAAATAACCCAATTAAAATGGCAGATGATCTGAATAGCCATTTCTCCAAAGATATACAAATGGTCAATAATGACATGAAAAGATGTTTGACATCAAGAAAATTCAAATCAAAACCACAATAATTATTATTTCACACCAATTAGGATGGTATTTGAAAAATATAACGAGAAATGTGGACTTTCTATTGCTAGTAGAAATGTAAAATGACAAAATTGGAAGTTCGGCAATCAGTTAAACATAGAGTTACAATATGATTCATCAGTTTCACTCCTAAGTGTCTACCCAAGGGAAATAAAAATATACATCCAAACAAATATATAAGCGTAAATGTTCATGGCACCATTATTTATAACATCTGAAAAATAGAAACAACTCACATGTCCATCAAGTGATTAATGGTTAAACAAAATAAAAAACTGATAAGTGGATTATCATGCAATGGAATGTTATCCATTAATAAAAAGAAATAAAATGCAAATACATGCCACAATACAGATGCTCTGTTAAAGTAGACAGTCACAAAGGACCACATATTTTTATATGATTCCTTTTAAATGAAAGATCTGGAACAGGCAAATATATAGAGACAGAAAGTGTATCTTTGGTTATTTAGGACTGGGAGTTTGGGTTGAAACAAGGAAGGGCTGCTAATTTCTTTAACAGGTGCAGAATTTCTTTATTAGGTGATGAAAATTTTCTAAAATGGATTAGGGTGATAGGCACTACTCTATGAACAACTAAAAATCATTGAGTTGGACACCTTGAATGAGCAAATTGTATGGAATGTCAGTTACAGCTCAATGAAGTTTTTATTGAAAGAAGACAAAGCTCTATTTCCAACTCTGACCTAAGCAAGTTATGCAAAATTGTAGGCGTCATTTCTTGAGGTGTTAAATAGGGATAATATGACATCCACTCATATCAGAATAAGAGGTATTGTTTTAAAAGTTTTCCCACTCACAGCAAGCATGGTTGGCTATAATCTCTGTCATTCTTTCAATACCTATTGCATCTGCTGAGGCCAGAAGGCCAGGGCAAGCTGAAGGCCCACTATCACTGCACAGATTTACAGTCTCGGTAGCAAAGTGACTTTAGGGATCACCTAGGCTTAATATCTACTTGCTACAATGGGTCCCTTCCACAACTCTTGCGATGCCCAAACCCTCAGTAATAGGAAATCTGCTACACCACAGGAAGCCTATTCCCTCTTGGACAGTTCTGACCAGGCTGAAATATGCCTCTTTACAGCTTCAGTCCTTATGCAACTCAGTTGGAGAGGTCTTACCTTTCCCTTCTTTGCCTCTTTTATATATTTAAAGATAGCTTGTGATGGGAGGGGAGGGGAGAGGATGTGGGAATAGGAAAGATAGTAGAATAAAACAGACATTATTACTATATGTCTATATGTGACTGTATGACCAATATGACTCTGTAATATATATATATATATATATATATATATATATATATATACTCAAAAATAAGAAATTATATTCCATCTATGTATATCAAAGTGTATAAATGCATTCTATTGTCATGTATAATTAATTAAAACAAATTATAAAAAAACATAACTCATGTCTCCTTGAGTTTYGTATTCTCTAAGCTAAATATCTTCAGTTTCTTTCAATATTCCTACTTAATTTAGGAACCCAACTATATAAACTTGACTCCTATTTCCATTAACTTCAATAGATTTATTGAGTCAACATTCATGCCTGTTATGATTTGGATCTGAAATGTTCCCAAAAGGCTCATGTGTTGAAGGCTCGGTCTCTAATGCAGCTTTGTTCAGATGTGGGGCTTTGGGAAGTGATTGGATTATTAAGGCTCAAACTTCATTAGTGGATTCATCCATTGATGGATGCATAATTTGATAGCACTATTGGGAAGTGGTAGAAACTATAGGAAGTGGGTCCTCATTAAAGAGAGGGGGTCCTCATTAAAGAGAGGGAGTCTTCATTAAAGAGAGTGGGTCCTTGAGGCAATGCCCTTATGTACTTAAGTTCTCTGTTATCTGTCTCCTTGTCTGTCTGTGAGTACACACTCACCACAGGAATGAAGTAATTCATACTTCTCTCTCCTTCTGGCTGTATGAGGTAACATTCCTCTGCCACACCTTCCCTACCATTAAGTTCTGCTCACCAAGGCCTAGAATCAAATGAAATAAAACCTCTAGTGACTGGAATCTCTGAAACCATAAGCCAAAGCAAATCTTTCCTCCCTTAGATTGATTTTTTCCTCAGGTGTTAGGCCACAGACACAAAGCTAATAAACACAATGTAACAGTTGTCTAATTCATGCTTTAAATATAGCCAGTGCTGCTCTGCACTGAGATTTATTTTTAAATGGACATGCTTTTTCTCTTCTCCTCCTGCCTAATCTCTCCACTTTTCTAATCTTGGGGGAAGCAAGATTAATTACCCTTCTTCCCCATACTAAGCCTAGTTGTCTGTCTGTGAGTACACACTCTCCACAGGAGTGAAGTAATTCACACTTCAGAGATGGTACCAGATCTAAGAAATCTTACAAATGAGCAAATGAATTCTGACCCCCATCAGGGCACACCTGGAATGTAGCTTTTGAATCACCCCTTTCAGAGCTCTCTGTTCTTCCTGATGGACGGAATCATAGACTCTGGTGTAGTGTCACCCCCTCCTCCACAGAAAATCTTAATTAAGCTTCTCCAGATGTCCTCACCATAACTGATCTCAAAATATCAGCAAAAGAGTTCAGTGTAATTAAACTTCCTATTTCCTGTTGCTCTCTTACAATAACTAAAATTGGCCATGGCCTGAAAGAGAACCAGGTAATGAATACCCCTTTATTAGGTTATCACAACATTTATGGGCTATCTAGTGTTGTAGATTCTCTAGTTTAAATGATATATAATAGTTTGTAAAGGTTTTCAAGCGGGAGGTGTATTTACAAATATAGAGTGTGATAAGAAGACATTCTTTTAACAAAGTCTCTGGCCTTGGGCCTGCTTCACAGGGATATTTGCATTTCAAAGATATAAGAAGATGTTACTAATTTGGTTCCATGGAAACAGCTGGCAGGGGAGGGGAGAAGAAGCTCTCCCTTTCTCAGACACTGATTTTTACAATAAATGTCTTTGAGGGGTTAATTTGCCCAGAACAGTAAATGATAAACCTGTTGTCATGGGAACTTCTGTAAATTGGGAACCTCTGAATTTCTCCCCCTATACACTGGGTATAAAGTTCTAAAACTTCCTGAACTCGTGGTTCAGAAGGACTGAAAGATTACACTGAAAACTTTTCCCTCTGAGCCTGGTTACAACCAATAAAAGTAAAGAATAAATCTGCTTCCTGCTATCTTCCAATGTCCTATCACATCTGTCCCTACAACACTGGGACAGTAGTTCTGTGTTTCTCTTTTGCTAGCAAAGTAATAAAACTTCTTCCTTTTTCTCAAAACATTGTCTTCTTTATTGGATTGTCATCATGGACAAGGACTGAGCCTTTGGTAAAAACAATTTCTCTTGAGGTCTTTTAGTAACATTATTCTCTTATACCTCTGGGTTTGGTATCTATAAACAATTTTATGGTCTCATATAAATAGCCTATCAATATAGACATAAAGTCTGCCCATTCCAATCTCTTTATTTTTTAGAAGGTTTTTAAAAATGTTTCCTCCTGAGTTTATATAATACAGACAATACACCTACTGGAGCTATAGGAGTTATAAAGACCGCTTAGTCTTTCTCATTTTTTCAATTGATAACTCTATTTTAAGAAGTTATTAGGTAGGGCCTTCAGCGATTTGCTCAGGGTTACTTCATCAGTTAACTGCTTAACTGGAACAGAACTCTGTCCTCTGTTCCACATTCATTTAAAACTCTAATTCATTTATTCACTCAACAAATATTTGTTGATCATAGTTTTATAGCAGCACAAACAAGAAGGAATGTCAGACCAAAATTTTAGAGAAATAGGATGATTGATGAGCCCAACCTATTCTATCCTAAGAATGGGAGCCATCTCATCACAAAGTAATGAAAAGTTCATTTCTGTTTTACTAAGATTTCTATTTAGCCTGACCATACTCTGAGGGCTAATCTTATTTGGAATTCCTGCCCAAGCCCTAAACTCACCCAACCCTAGTTCTCCTTGACCAGATAACAATGTTCCCTAAAACCTTAGCAGCCTCTCATAAATTCATATGTTGGAATCTCAATTTACTCCCTACCTTGAAATGTCAAGCCATGTAAATCCTTAACCTGCTATCTGCCTTTGTATTATGCTTCCCAGAACCTTGTTAGCTGTAAGTTCCCAAGACACCCCCCCCTTTGTAATTTCTTGTGCTATAAAACCTTTTTCCTGGAGAGCTAGGAAGTTTTCCTCAGGCCTTGCATTTTGGGTGAGGCAGCCGTTGGCCAGTTCTCTCTTATGTACACAACACAAGCTTGCTTTAATTTGGCTAAAAATTGCAGTAGGTGGTGTTTTCCTTGTGTTGTGATTCATCAAAGATAAGAGATATTTAGGAGACATAATGATAGCATTTGATATGGCTTGGTGGGGAAATAATTTACTGGCTGAGAAAAGGAGGATGAATCAGCAAATGAGACGTAAAGAAACTACCCAAGAATATGGAAAATGAGAAACAGGAAGAGTGGATAGGGGTAGCTGTGCCAATCTAAAGAAATAGGACAAATGCCCCCACAGAGACCAGTGTTATCAGAGCCAAAACTCTGGAGCCATTTTGACTCTTGCTCATCACAACCTTATTAAGCATCCTGGCTGCCTGGGGGTAATTAACTATTACTCCCATATTTATGTCACTTGAATGCAAATGGTTTGCCCAAGGTCATGCATGAAGTCTGTGGTTTAAAAGAAAAAGGACCCTCTCAAAATTCTTCAATTCCTGCCTTGAGCAGAGTTAAGGAAGCCAGATGGCAGACAGAGTTGTTGTGTGCCTTGAAAACGTCACTTTCTTACTGGAGGCCTCAGTTTTCCCAACTGTAAAAAGAAGAGGCTAATCAAATGGCCTCTGAGTTTCTTTTCAATAATAAAATTTTAAAGTTTATTATACATTAAGATATTAATATTTATGAATTTTTGTATTTCCTAAGAATCTCCTTGTAAGATATGGAAAATGACAAACTCCAAAATAGTGTGGTCTGGAAAGAGGGAGTGAAGAAGAAGGCAACACATTGGTAACATTGATCCTTTCCCAATACACCTTTTCCTAGAGATAGGACACTCCCTGAAAAGTAAGCAAACATCATCCAGTGACAAGACAATCCCTGGGAAGGAGATCTCCATCAGGCCTAGAATGACAGACTCTGAGCAGAAGCCAAAGCATAGATCCTTCCCCAAATAAATCCTTTCCCAGTGAGAGTACAATGGGACCCTGAAGGGAAAGAGATAAGCACTGAACACTGCCTAGACCCTAATATTCTCTCCTAAGTAAAAATATTGCCCAATGGTTCCATTCCCAATTTTCCAAGAAATCTCCATACTGCTTTCTATATTGGTTGCGCCAATTTGCAGTCCCACCATCAGCGTATGATTGTACCCGCCCCCCCATCCTCACCACCACTTATTGTTGTTTGTCTTCAAAATAGCTGCCATTCTGACTGGACTGAGATGAAATCTTAGAGGGGTTTTGATTTGCATTACTCTAATTGCTAGTGATGATGAACATTTTGTCATATACTTGTTGATTGATTGTACATCTTCTTCTGAGTAGTGATTGTTTAGGTCCTTGGCCCATTTGTTAATTGGGTTATTTTTTTTTTTGGTGTTTAGACTTTTTGGTTCTTTATATACCCTAGAGATTAGTGCTCTATCTGATGTGTGAGAGGTAAGAACCAACCTAGATGCCCTCCAATAGATGAATGGATAAAAAAAAGTGGCATATAAACACAATGGAATATTACTCAGCAATAAAAGAGAATAAAATCATGGCATTTGCAGGTAAATAAATAGAGTTAGATAAGATAATGCTAAGTTAGCCAATCCCAAAAAAACAAATGCCAAATGTTTTCATTGATATAAGGAGGCTGATTCATAGTGGAATAGGGAGTGTGAGCATGGGAAGAATAGAGGAACTCTATTCCTAGATAGAGCAGAGGGGTTGGATGGGAAGGGAGTGGGCATGGGGCTATTATGATGGTGGAATGTTATGGACATGAGTATCCAAAGAACAGGCATGAAGACACGAATTGGTGTGAATATACTATGTATATAACCAGATATATGAAAAATTATACTCTATATGTGTAATAAAAATTGTAACCACTGACATATATAAATTTAAAAAAAATAAATAATATTGCCTAGTAATAACAAATTTCAAATTCTGAAAAACTGTTTCCTAAGGGCCCAAACTGACATGCTCTGTCAATAATTAAGTCATCACTCAGTGTAGCATATATAAACATAGACTTCCCCTTAGCCATTGGCTTATTTTCCATCAGGAAAGTTGGTCCACAGATGCATGATTTCATTACTGAATAAAGGCTGTGCTGATCCATGAAGCTTGCACCCAGCCCAGTCATTTTGTGCTAACACTCCTAATCTAACCAGCTTTTCAGCCCTTGAACCATAATTAAGAGATTTATTTTTCTCCAACGTGAAACATGAATTACAAATTCACAAGTCAATCCCAAAACTCTAGTTATTCTAAACTCAGGATTCAATCTTCTAGGATAACATATTCTTTCTTTCTTTCTTCCTTTCTTTTTTTTGGGGGTACTGAGGATTAATCTCTTGGGGATGCCTGCCTACTTATCCACATCACCAGCTCTTTTTAATTTTTTTCATATTGAGACAGGGTCTCATTAATTTTCATAGGGCCTTACCAAATTGCTAAAGCTGGCCTTAAACTTGTGACCCTCCTGCCTCAGCCTCCCCTCCAGACTTGCTCGGATTACAAACAGGCATGTGCCACCAAGCGTAGAAGGGTGGGGTTCACCTATAATTCCAGCAATTTGGGATAACATACCTTGTATGGTAAGAAGCCACACTGAATTTTATTCATCTACAATTTATCTACAACTTCAAACTCCTTCCTTCTAGAACTAAAATCTGGATTTTTTCCTCCACTTATGTCTGTGAAATCATCTAAAAGTTAATTCATTCTCCAGGTAACTAGGAGGCTTAGTTCAAGCCTTCATATTAATTTGTTGGAATGTTTTATTTATTTTTAATGGATAGAAAAATTGTTTATATTTATCATGTACACCATGACATTTTGAAATTTGTATAGATTGTGGAATGGCTAAATCTAGCTAATTAACATATCAATGACCTTACATACATACTGTTTTTTGTGGTAATCTGCTCTCAGCAATTTTCAAGCACATACACTATATTGTTAATGGCCATAGTCACCACATTGTACAGTACATCTCTCGAACTTATTCCTCCTATCTGAAATTTTGTATTCTTTTACCAATATTTCTCCAAATCACGCCACCCTTTGTCTCACTCCCAGGTAATCACCATTCTCTCTATTGCTATAATCTTGACTTTTTACATTCTGTGTTTATCATGCAGTATTCATCTTCCTGAGTCTGGCTTAATTCACTTAATATAATGTCCTCCAAGCTCATCCAAGCTGTCATAATGACAGAATTTCCTTCTCTTTTAAGGTGAAACAATATTCCTTTGTGTATATATTCCACTTTTCTTTGCCCATTCAAATGTTGAGTTCATGGATTGATTTCATACCTTGACTGTTGTGAACCATGTTGCAATGAACATGGGGGTGCTGCTATCTCTTCAACATACTGATTTCATTTCCTTCAGAGATATATATACCCAGTAATGAGATTATTAGATCATATCATAGTTCTATCTTTTTTTTCAGGAACCTCCATAGTGTTTTCCACATTGATTATACTAATTTGTATTGCCTGTGTTGAAGATCTTTGAAAGATTTTCTAGATGATCATGGAAGAGCCACTGTTTTCCCTAGTAAGTTTTTATTTTCCAAGCCTGATGGACAAGTCCCAGGACTCAGAGAGCCTAACCAAGTCATATTCTTATAGACATGTGCAAAACCTGAAAATACTTAGAATGAAACTTCCCCTATTGACCGACTAGATTCAGAAACTTTTTAGTCTCAGAAGGCACCCAGGAGTCTAGAGGGAGCCTAAACCCAATCAGCCTCTCAAGAAAGACTCACCATCAGGCATGAGCTCCACCACCAAGGTGGGGTAGGCGATGTTGGTACAGCCAACTGGGGTGCCACAATATTTTTTACATTCTGAAGGAATGACACAGGCAATTTTTTCTGGGGAGAGACAAAGAATCATATCAGCAAACACACATTGGGGGAATACTTCTAAAATTCACCTTCTTAAAACAAGGTGTCAAATATAACATTTCTGCCCAGGGCCCCGAAATGGTTCCACACGAGTGTAGATTGCAGTGAGCACCTCCATCCCATGCCCCTATATTTTTTGTCTTGATTCACCCCCAACCTCTGACTAGGGAGGAAGGATGGCTCCTAAATAGAGGAAGATGAGGAACAAAAGAAATGCTTAGGGTGAGATGGTGGGGAACACTTTCTTCAGACTTTAGCTAACTACTCTTCAGCTCAACAGTGATAATTACCTTATTTTCTCCTGAAAAAGCACAGTGATCTGTGGTTCCTACCGCAAAGATATGCATAGGTTATGCAAATTCTAGACCATGTTATATAAGGCACATGAGCACCTGCAGAGTTCTGTCCTCCAGATTTATTTTAAGCAGCTCTTAGAAGTAGAGTCACATGTCTAAATAACTGAGGAAATTTCCTCTGTGACAGGATTGTTGGATACCACCTCCGAGATATGGGAAATCTGGGATTAAAAAGTAAATAGCCTCAGAGGGAAAGGAACATGGTCTAGAGTTTTAAAGAGAATTCTAGAAATGTGCATAGGATTCAGATCAACAAATATTTGTTCAACACTTGCTACAAGAATATCTCATTTAGTGCTGCCCTATATTCAACCATAGCACTATTTTGTAAACAAGTATGTATAACATGCAGTAGAATATAAACCATTCAGTTAGTTATACAGTCTTCCCTCAGTGTCCTTAGAGGGAACTGGTTCCAGGACACTACCCGACACCCAGTGGATACAAAACTCTGCAGGTGCTCAACTACCTTATATAATATGGTATAGAATTTGCATAACACATATATATCTTTCTGCATACTTTAAATCATCTCTAGATTACTTATAATTCCTAGTATTATATAAATGCTAGATAAACATTTGTTGTACCATGTTGAACAATAACAAGGCAAAAAAGGCTACACATGTTCAGTATAGATGAAATTTTTTCTGTATATTTTCAATCCATCCATAGTTGGTTAAAAACATGGACATGCAAATCATAAATATAAAAGATCAACTGTATTTTTTTTTCCTGACAGAAAAAACAAGCCTGGGGTAGGTGGAGGAGCTATAATTGAACACATGTTATTAAATGGAAGAGGCAAGTTGGATGCATATTGTGACTTTAGAAGATTTGAAAAATAAAATGAGTAAACAATTGCCAGTGTAAGAAACCAGGGAACACAACTCCAAACGTCTTTGTCCTCAAATTGCTCATTGTTGATCAGAGGGGAAAATGATGCTTGGTAATCATGGCCAGAAGAGGGCAGACTACAGGGAGCAGAAAGTTAGGGACTTTAGAAGTGATCCAGAGGTAGAGAAATGAGTATGGTCCGTGAGTCTCCCAGAAGGTATTACCTGTGTAGAGAATGCGGCTGATCATCCCTGGCATCACCATGAGGAACATGGGCAGCAGCTTCATGTACCCACACAGGGTACAGCCGGCCTTCACATGAGACATATTCTTGGCTGAGAGGCAGCGCTGCACAATCACCTGCCATGGAAAGCCCAGTGAGAGTGGGTTGCAGCCCTGAGATCCCATGATATCCGACAGTTAGGTTCCCCATCCTGAGTCCTTGGCCTGAGACTCAAGACCATGTGAGGCCTTCCCTATGTTTCCCAGCCCCACAAGCCACAGGTAGGCAGGAATCTCTTCAGTGCCCTGGGGAAAATCTGTACACCCTACATATCCAGCTTGAGTACCTGATCTGTGCACCAGTACCACAAGGCGAGGATGGCCAGCCCAAAGATGAGCCCAGGCCATGGGAGGTCTCCCTTCAGGGGATCTCGGAAGATGTGGAAGGAGTCTTCCCTTGGAGTGTAGCATTCTTCCTTGATGGTGGTGTTTCCATCAGAAATTAAGGTTGGAATGGCTTTCATATACTTTTCCATGAAGGCTTCATACCCTCCCACTTCATTGAAAGCTGGAAAAATTGGTACAAAAACAGTCTGAAATTTCCAACTCTTCATAGAGATTTCATCTCTGGGGCCTGAGAATCTGAGAGGACACCACCACCAGAGAGAGCCCTTACTGTGTGGTCTTGGGCAAGTTATTTTCCCATTCTGTGCCTCCACTTTCTCAACCATAGAATGGAATTATTAACCCTGCCCAGCCCCCTTGGGGGCTACTATGAGGATCCAAAGCAAAAACTTGTGAGAATGTTCTAAACACAAACTTCTTTACAAAATGGAAGGTATCTCAATGACTTAAATGAAGTTCTTAGTATGGGATCACATGCAAAGACTTCTTTCCTCACTCCCTGTTGTCAGCCATGGTCTTTGGAACGCAAATCACAGGCTTAGAGACCCTCAGTGACCAGTAAGAACCTGGACAGAGACCTACCACCTCTGGTCCTAGCAGTGGAATTTGATAACCAAGAAGATGAGGAATCTGGAACCCTGCTACCTCTCAGGTATGGGCCCTTGACAAGTCATTTCTTGTTGACCCACAGGGCCTACTAGGGAGCTTTCATACCAAATGAAAGTTCTCGGAAAACTGAACACTACAGAGAATATACGAAACTTTCCAGGACAGGTAGAAGTTCTTGTGCACCTAAAAATGAAATGCATTTTACATCCTCTCTTAACAACTATCCCTAGACATAGCTTTTCAATGTTGTCTTTTTAAAAAAATTTTTATTCTCATTTGTTATATATGACAGCAGAATGCATTACAATTCATATTACACATATAGAGCATAATTTTTCATATCTCTGGTTTTATACAAAGTATATTCACACCATTCGTGTCTTCATACATGTACTTTGGATAATGATGTCCATCTCATTTCATCATCATTTCTAACCCCATGCCCCCTTCCTTTCCCTCCCACCCCTTTGCCCTATCTAGACTTTGTGTATTCCTCCCATGCTCCCCCTCTCTACCCCACTATGAATCAGCCTCCTTATATCAGAGAAAACATTTGGCATTTGGTTTTGGGGAATTGGCTAACTTCACTTAGCATTATCTTCTCCAACTCCATCCATTTACCTGCAAATTCCATAATTTTATTCTCTTTTCTTCTTGAGTAATATTTCATTGTGTATATATACTACTTTTTTAATCCATTCACCTACTGAAGGACATCTAGGTTGGTTCCACAATTTAGCAATTGTGAATTGTGCTGCTATAAATATTGATGTGGCTGTGTCCCTGTAATATGCTAGACTGAGAAGAGGAACAGATGGTCAAATGGTGGTTCCATTCCTAGTTTTCCAAGGAATCTCCATACTGCTTTCTATATTGGCTGCACCAATTTGCAGTCCCACCAGCAATGTATGAATGTGCCTTTTTCCCCACATCCTCGCCAACACTTATTGTTTGTCTGYGTAATAGCTGCCATTCTGACTGGAGTGAGATGAAATCTTAGTTTTGATTTGCATTTCTCTAATTGCTAGAGATGATGAACATTTTTTTCATATATTTGTTGATTGATTGTACATCATATTCTTAGAAGTGTCTGTTCAGAGCCTTTGCTGATTTATTGATTGAGTTATTTTTTTTTTGGTATTTAACTTTCTGAGTTCTTTACATACCCTAGTGATTAGTGCTCTATCTGATGTGTGAGTGGTAAAGATTTTCTCCCAAAATGTAGGCTCTCTATTCACCTCACAGATTGTTTCTTTTGCTGAGAAGAAACTTTAGTTTGAATCCATCCCATTTATTGATTCCTAACTTTAATTCTTGCACTATAGGAGTCTTATAGTTGGAGCCTAATCCTATGTGATGGAGATTAGGGCCTACTTTTTCTTCTATTAGATGCAGAGTCTCTGGTTGTATTCCTAGGTTCTTGATACACTTTGAATTGAGTTTTGTACATGGTGAGAGATAGGGTTTTAATTTCATTTTGTTGCATATGGATTTCCAGTTTTCCCAAGAAGAGTGAAGCAGGTGGCATCAACTATACCAGACCTTAAACTATACTACAGCACAAGAGTATCAAAAACATCATGGTATTGGCAACAAAATAGACCAGTAGACCAATGTTACAGAATAGAGGACACAGAGACTAACCCACAAAATTACAATTATTTTATATTAGACAAAGGTGCCAAAAACATACAATGGAGAAAAGATAGACTCTCCAATGTTGTCATTAGGATTTTCTAGGCAAGTAAAACTTCAAAAAATGAGGGGGTGGGAGGCAACATTAAGTGGCCAATTTAATTTTTTTCAAAGAAGGACATTGAAAGGAAAATTATGACATACTGTCAATAACTCATGAGAGTGGACATTTAACTTCAAAATGTAAGGATATATTTAGCTTAATGGATATTAAGCCTCATCTATCACCTTTTTGCCCCCTCAATTTCTCCACAGAGAGGCCCACACTGGGGTCAACTGATTGAAGCTATCAAGGGAGAACAGGAGCCCCAACCTGAGTCCTCCCAAGATGAAGAAGCTACCTCTGTACCCCAGGTGATGGTCAAAGTGGGTTGGACCACTGCCCTTCAAAGGACACAGACTGCCCAAATTCACAGCTTGGCAGGAAGCAAGGAGAGAAGCCAAACTTTCTTTGCCTGGCTCTGTATATATTCCCCCACCCCCTCCTCAGCCTGCCCTTCCCCCACTTACCAAACCCAGTCAGGATAAAAGACCCCACCAGCATAATTGCTGTCTGCAAGGTGTCCGTGTAGATCACAGCTGCCAGGCCCCCTAAGCAGGCAAGAAGACAACATAGCTCACCTCATGTGGAAGATAGCCTATCTGCCTGCTTCCTCTTCCTATCACCCATCATGACCTCTACTTCTTACACCCAATCTGAGAAGCAACCCCATCCCCAGTCACCAACCTGCCTTCCCCCCCACACACTTTACAGTATTCTGCTATTTAAAAGTGTGTTCTCAACCTCCACTTTTCACAGAAATGTTCTCAAGGCCTTAGGGAAAGGAGAATGTTTCTAAAGAACCTGATTTGACTATGTTAAGCCAAGGGATGGCTCAAAGGAGATGGCTGCTCTAAGGTAAGAGAAAGCAGCTTCCAAATGAAGGCAAAGAGGAGCAAAGAGCTGACTAGGGAGATTCCTAGGAACATTACCAAATTGCCACATTTCAGAGGGCCACTTCTATGTCCATCCCTGTTTCTCAGACTATCTGAGTAACWTTAGTCCTCAAAGATATGGAGCCCCAATTCAGCTGTAAGTTTCATTGCTGCTCCTGACCTTCCCAAACTAGGCAAAGTGACACCTCTGCAACCCTTTCTCTCTCCTGCAGTAGCTCTCAGTCCCCAGAATATCAAATCCAAGGCCTCTGTACCTCATTTGAATTATCAAGCCTATGGCCCACACTYGCCCCCATTACTCCTCAGTGGCCACTCTCCTTCAGCCAARTGCATCCTCTTGCTTACCTTGCCTCCACCTCATGGCCTACCATTCCTACCTCCATTCTCAGCTCGCACATTCTTGCACCTGAAACTCCTCTGATGTTCCCAATTTAGTCACATTGTTTCTACAATCTGCAGGGCCAAACTCTCCCTGAGGTCCTGTAAGAAGTTGCCCTATCCCAGCCTCTACTGGAGATTTCTGAGACCACTCAGGTAACTACTAGTAGATACCCAGAAAATGCCCATTCTCAAAYTGTTTCCTGGGTGTATCWCTCTTCTTCAAGAAATGCCYAATACTGRGCTGAACTTGAGATGCYRGTTCACTTGAACAGACTCACCTGTGATTGTGTAAAGYCCAGTGATTGCTAATAAGATAAAGATGGCCAGGTATATATCCAGGCCCAAAGCCAGATTGATGAATATGGCTCCAGAGAAGATGTCTGCCTAGAAGAAGAGGAGAGGCAGGTTAGAAGTGGCAGAAGCCAGTTAGCCACAGAGTGCATACTGTATTCTCAAGCTTTATTCAGGAGGATAATTTTCTGGATACAGAAAAAGGATTTCATGGTTAAAAAGGTGGAAAATGCTGAATTTAAAAAGTTAAGGCAATTTCTTTGCCACACACCTTCTCTGAGCCTTTAGTATACATCATTTTCTGTGAATCCATAGAAGCAAACATGAGCACAGTATACAACTTCACCAACTTATTTAACTTTTGCCAAGGAGTAACTATTAACTATTGATGTTCCTCCTAACTCACCTGTAGACTGCTGCTCTTAGCTATTATCCATAATTTATACCTCAATGTACACAAGTCTGTCAGATCTATTCCCAAACACAAGTTTTTGTGCCAAAGAATCCATGAGTGGGGATCGCAACCCCAACTGAAGAATGGAGAGAACTTTAGAAAGATTATAATTTTATCTTCCTGACCCAGAAGGAGTTCATCTTGACTCATTTCAGGGAAATTGTTCCATTTATTTCTCCTGAACTCAATATATTCTTGGTGCAGTTCTTCCATGACCTCTTTCTCCTTATGTCTCTCAGCCCTCTCATAATTAGCCTTCTACCTGGCTGGATGATGTAGTTGCTAATATACAACAGCAGAGGGCGTAAGGATCAACCAAAATCAATTTTCATGTCATCTCCAAAATACTGCACTACCAGGAAAGATTAATATTAAGGAATGATCATGGTGAATCTTTTCAAACATTTAGATAAAGAATAAGGTTGTCTTCCCCTAGATGGAGATGAGTGAGATGTTTTATTGCACAGAGTCATTTCAGGGCATGCAAAAATTGCCCAGCCAGAGTCCTGGGGAACAGGTCAATAGAGTTGGACTCACCCTCTCTCAATCTCATCTCCTCTCTCCCTCTCTACTGCAGCTCCTCAGTTCTCCCTAGTGGCTGAGACGCCCCACAACACCCTCCTGTCCTGCTGCTAGATTTGAATGTGTCTTCCAAATGTTCACTTGTTGAAAACTTAACCCCCAAATCCTTATGTTGATGATATTTAAAGATGGGACATTTGAGAGGTAATTAGGATTAGAAAACACCACAAGGACAGGAGCTCCATAATATTGTTGACTTTATAAGGACAAGAAGAGAGACTGTACTTTCCAGGCTCCTTATCACCATGTGATCCACATGTTGGGAACAGCAAGGAAGCCCTCACCAGATGCCAGTGCTGTGCCCTTGAACTTTCCAGTTTCCAAAACTATAAGAAATTGATCTTTATAAATTATGCAATCTCAGGTATCCTGTTATAGCAACATAAAACATACTAAGACACTCTCCCAGTGGAATCTCCTCACTACTGTCTCTCTTATTTGCCTCTATTATTTGGTATAATGTAATTTCATACTTATGTGCTAATGTTTGAGCCCTGGAGAATGAATCAACCCCCCACTCCCAAGATGGGCTCCTGAGGAACCCATGACTTAGTTCCAGTCATCCAGATCTTCCCTGAAGATTCTCATTCAAGAGACTTAATGCCATCATCATTCTTGGTGAAGGAGGATAGGCAGAGCTAGGAGGTGGGAAGAGAGGGGATGACTTAGAAAGTCACCCCCTCACTGGAAGCTGGTGGTCAGAGGACCTGAGTTTTAGGTACATCACTGAGTAACCCTAGGCAAAACATTTTGCTTCTCTACTTCTCAGTGCCTTTAAAGCAGGACGTCCTGCCTCCAGATGGTTGTCTTAGTGGCTGGAAATGGGAAAGGACTGCAGCCAAGGAAAACATTCCCCAACAAGATCCTGGATGGATGCATCCTGCCCTCTGTAGCAGCCCAAGAGGAGGAAAGAACCCCTGCTGTACTCTTTGCTTGCTAAATGTAAATAACCACTTTTTTCTGATTGCACATTTGAAATTGTGATGAATACTTATAATGCCAGTTCCTCCCATCCCATGCCTCCAAACAGTTACATGAAATTATGTAAATTAAAGGGATCCTATTCAAGATTACAGCAGGATGCTGTCAAATTCACACACTTTTGATTTGGTGGATTAGCTAACAAACACAAATGAGCTATAAAAAGAGGCTGCTACTATTGCCTTAGAAATGCCCACAATTGGCTTATTTTCCATGGAAGGTAATTTTTAGTGCTTTAGGATAACATATCATTGTAGACTGTGATTCTCTCATTAATATTTGCCTTACCGTCATTAGTCTCAGACAAGTGTTACACAACCCCAAGATAATTCTATAAATGAAGTTTATAAAGACTTCTTGAAGTGTTGAACTCATAGAAATCTTGTTCTATGACATTCTATTTCCATCTAGTAAAGATAAAGAATTCTAAGAAAACCTCCCTGGTGAATAAATTCTTTCTCCCATGAGTCATTCCCAACTCCAAAATAGATTCTGCCCTTGAAACCCCAAATATCAGCAGAAACGCCTGGGGTTATGATAGCTGAGTTCATGAAAGTGACTGTATTTGAGTGAACTCACTTTAGCCTGGGGTTTCTGGCATTAGTCTTTGGGTGTCTCTTATGCCCTAATTTCATGCTTCACTACTAGGTTCCCCCCCTACTTTTCCAGAGAATTTTATAGTTTACTAAGGACTTCCAGGTGCCCATGTTATTTTGATCCTCAAAACAACATTGAAAAGTAAGGAATCACTTTTCTGTGATATTTTCTGTAAAGTCATTTTAACCATTTTTTTAAATTGACTTTTAAAATAAAATAAAATTTTAAATAAAATAATGTGTATGATTTTAAAACAAACAGCATGGGAAGTTATATAATGAAAAGTAAAATATTAAATGCTGAAAAATCATTACTCTGCCCAAAGGTGAACACTGTTGAGAGCTTTTTGTCTACCAGTTATTTTTAAAGAGTTTGCTGAAATTTAGATATCAACAGTTATGTTCTCCATACCCTAAATGTAATAATGCTGAAGTCAAAAATTGAAAAATGTTTAAAATTTTTGCCAAGAGCAAGGGGAAATATAACAAAAATGGTGTGAGTATTTTTTTTTGTACATGTAGGAGGAATTTGCTGGAGATCAAACCCTTTGCACTAGCTAACAAGTGCTCTGTCTCTGAGCTAAATCCCAGGCAGTGTGCACATTCTGATTGGATCTTTATAATAAAAGAATACACAAAATATAGAAAATATTGAAATATGAAAATGAAATGTTTGTATTATTATAGGATTATGGGTGTTTTCCTACCCTAAGATTTTCTTAAATGCCTTGCAGTTTCAAAAGTGGAGCAGAAATTTTTAAAATATTCTTTAAGGATAAATGGGCGTGGGGGGTGTAGTAAAAATATAAAAATAAAGATGGTAAAAATACATAGGAAGTTCAAGTTAAGGTTTACCTTTTAGGAAGGAGGGTACTGGGATCAAGAGAAAGATCAGAGAAAAGAATACACATAAGTTATGTTTTATTTCTTTTTAAAAATGATAAATTATGTCAGGTGTGTTGGCACACACCTGTAATCTCAGTGACTCAGGAGAATTTCAAATTCAAAGACAGTTTCAGCAACTTAATGAGACTTTGTCTCAAAATGAAAAGAAGAGCTAAGAGCAGCGGAGAAGATGTAGCTCAGTGGTAAAGCTCCTTTCCATTCAATCCCCATACCACAATAAATTAATAATATATAATTAGATCTATAMAATTTGAGTGGGTAGATATTAAGGCGTTTGCCATATGATTATTCTTTTGCTTTTCTGTATGTTTCAAATATTTCATTAAATTATTTTTATTTAGAAAAGCAGAGGAAATACACCATAATAGTGGTATGGTAATAGCCCTGAGAACAATGGTGATAATAGCCCCAGGAAATACAAACAAGGACATTCACTTATCATGTGTAATTCATAAAACTGAGGCTTTATCTCAAGTGATCATGCATATTTGAATAATACATAGCTTTGATATAAAAGGAGTATTCTATAATCCTCTGAGGTAATTTGTTTCACATGTAATCATCCCAGATTGCTCCTTTCCTACACTACTGTTAAATGCCTTAAGAAAAAGAGAGAGAAAAGAGAAAAAAGAAAGGAAAGAAGGAAAAAAGGAAGGAAGCAAGCAAAGAAAAAAGGAAGAAGAGAAAAGAAAAAAAAGGGAGAGAGATGGAAATTTCCCTGATATTGCTAAAGAAAATCAACTCAAAGTGAAACAGAAAAGTATAGTCCTCTAGGTTCAGGGATTGGCAATTTTTTCCCTGTAAAAAGTCAGGTATGAAATGTTTTCAGCTTTTCAAGCCATATCATTATTCCAGCTCTGCAGGTGAAACATGAAAGCATCATAGACAACATAAACAAATGGGCTTTTCTGTGTTCCAAGAAAGCGTTATTTACACGAGCAAATAGTAGGTTGGTTTCTCCCAAGGGCTTTGAAAGTTTAGCTCATCAGTTTCCATGGGACTCTTAGGGAACAATAAAACATTCAGACACTAACTAGAAAATATTTGGGAGTAACTGAGTCTGATATTGGTGAGCCTTCTGTAGGTTGTTTGGCTTCAGTGAGGATGTTTTTAAGATGCTGTGATTTGTCATGTGTGTTTGCTGTCCATTCTGGTTCTAAGATGTATCTGAGCACCCAATAAATCCTATCTGGCAATGAGGTTTCAGATGGAGAAGCATCATTGCTCAAATTTCTCTTTCTATCTGTGAATGTGAATAGCCAAGGTAATAAGCATTCAAACCTTAAGCAAAAGCCAAAGCTTTTATTTTTACCCAAGGATCCCAAATGGACAGCAGAGTTGCAGTAAAAGTTCATTGCAGTCATGATCTGTGATAATAACTTAGGAAATACAAACAAGGACATTCAATTATCACATGTAATTCATAAAATCTGAGGTTTTATCTCAAGTGACTGCACATATTTGAATAAGATGCACCATGCCAGGAAACCTCCAGAATAAAATGCTTCTCAGAGCTTGATAAGGAAGGTGCTCAAAGGAACCAATAAAATGCAGAAGTTCATAGAAAGACAATCAGTTCAGGGTCTCTGAGTTGGAAAGAATATGACCTCAAGATGGTAGCCATAGCAAAGGCTCCACGCCACCACTACCCACACACCTGCAATATGCTTTGCTGTCTACCACCAATTCTATACATATTGAATTTCTGTGTCTTCTCAAAACCTTCCTGGCAAGTCTCTAGCTGTTCTTGGTTTGTACATGGATCCCACAAAGCCTTCTCTCCTCTCTTGTCATCTATCACAAACTGTCTGTACACACACACACACACACACAAATACACAAATTAGTTAATCTTTGTGTGTAATACAAACTATACCTACTACTAGTATACTCAGTTACTTTATTAACTAATAGTTCTTTTCTTTTATTCATGATCCCTGCACTCCTGTGTACTGGGCTCCTAGCAGGTACAATTGACATCAATGTATTTCTTTTGTTTTCATGTCTGAATTCTGTGTATGTATTTCTTTATAAAATTTCAAGTTCTACACCCCATGGTAAACCTGAAGCCAGCCAAATGTACAGCCAAAGCCTTGTCTCTCTCCACACACCTCCCTCCTTCAGGACATCCAGACACCCAGCGTACAATTGATATTTTCTTGTTACAGTCCTTTCAGATCCTTCTCTCACCAACTCGTTTATATTATGAGATTCATTTAACTGCTTCTCTTAATTTTTCATGCAGTCTTAAGTTTTAACGCTCTCTGTACTGGAGGAATGAAAGATAGAAGACACATAAGGTCAAAAGATTTAAATCAGTGTCAAGAAACCTGATTCTCATCCTGGTTCTGCTCCTCTTTAACCCTCAAAAGTCCCTTTCCCTCCCTAAACCTCATTTGCCCATCTATAAAATGAGAGCTTAGGACATAGAACTAGCTGATCTATCCCATTTCATCATTTTCCATCTTCATTTTATGTAAGCTCAGTGCAAAAGTGTGAAACCACAGACTTTGAGACTAGACAGACTAGATTCCAATCCTGCCTTTGCCTTATGCTAGCTGGGGAAAATTACCTAACTTCTCTGAGGCGTCATTTTCTCTTCCATGAAGTGAAAAGTAAAAAAAGAAATCCCTAACAATGTGGTACACTTATGAGAACAATAGATAGTGAAAGTAAAGGTCCTACTGAAGACTAAATAAAAATACTGGCACTAAGTGCAGCTATCATCCTTCTTCAGCATTTGTCAAGGGATTATGTTTGGGCAACAGATGGAACAAATATGATGTTTATTAGGGCTTCTAGTAGGGAGCACCGGGAATTATACAGAGAGGCAACAGACAATGACATGCCCTGATTCAAAAGCAAAATTTAGAAAAAAACTGATGCTAGGAAACATTCCTCATCAAGATCTGAGCAGAAAGAGGATGCCCCTCACCTACCTGGGGACTCTCAATCCAAGGAGGTTTAATCAGTAACCTGAAAAATAGGTGGGGTGACAGGGAAGGCAGGAAGAGAGGTTGGCCATTTATTTATATGACTACCCCTACACCAGCTCCAAGGGCAAAGAGTGCCCTTTCCATGGCAACTGCAGTCAACAGACTTTCACCAGCTTGAACTGTGGACTTGGAAAATGTTTGCCTCTGAAAAGGGGAAACCCATTACCCTTCTCTATKTGCTCAAGAGACTGGTACCACCGCACAAGCTGGACTGAAGGGCAATTCCATCACCAGATTCCTGCTACTTTTAGAGTGACCTTTCCACCCTCCTGCTTATCTACCTTTTTCTCATCTTAGATTAGTGCCCTCCCCTCCCTTATGAAGCTGGGGTCTGATGTCTTCAACCCTACCAGCACTTTCCAGTCTTAGGCCAGTCTGACATCCAGTGCAATAAAACTGAAAAGGCCAGAGTTTTCATCTTGTAGCTAAAAACTAACCCTGAAGGAGAAGAGGAGAATGAAAAGGAGGGAGAATCCTCCTATTAGTGGAGAAAGCACAAAGGCACTAGTCAGAAGGCTGGCACAGGTCAAGGACAGTAGGAGAGCAGTCAGAAAGGAGGCAGAATGATTGCTGGTTGTCAGTCCCAACTCCTGAGACAAAAACCCTATCAGGTTTATCAATGAGAGCATGTTCAAAGCCTTTCATAGGAAACAACCGTCTCTTCAACAAATGGTGCTGGGAGAACTGGATATTCACGGGCAACAGGATGGAGTTGGATGCCTATCTCACACCAAACACAACAATTAACTCCATAGAGATGAAACCTGAAGGTAAAAGCTAAAGCTATGAAACTCAGGAGAAAATGTGTAGACAAATCTCCAGAACCTTGGATTTGGCAATGGAATCTTAGAAATTATACCAAAAGGATTAAAAAGGAAAATAGATAAGTTGAACTTCACCAAGATTTAAAACATTTGTGCATCAAAGGATATTATTAATAATGTGAAAAAGAACTTACAGAATAAGGGAACACATTTTCAAGTTACATATCTGATAAGGATCTGGGATCCAGAATATACAAGGATGTTTTACAACCGAACAACAAAAAGGCAGAAAAAAACCTAAATTTTTTAAAACATGTACACGTAGGCCAGGACAGGAGGGTAATAATACAGAAAGCAAAAATAATTCTGGTAGATTTTCTTTAAAGAAAGAATAACCAAACACAACCTCATTTGGATTCTGAGTCAAACTAACTAATTAAGAGAGTGTTTTTGAGATAATCAGGAAATTTTGGTTATGGAATAGCTATTAAACAACCTAAATTTTGAAATCACCATAATTTTAGGTAGACATTATTATAGCACAATAGTTATGAATTTAGGAAGCCAAAGGTACATCCTGAAGAATTTACAGAGAAATGACATGATCTCTAGGATCTGTTGTAAAATATTGCTGAAAAATGGCAAAATATTGATAATTATTAAAGCCAAATGATTAATACTAGATATTTGAGTACTTGTATTCTACCTCTGTTTATGTATGTTGCAAATGTTACTTAATTATGTTGTTGTCTCAGCTTTAAGTAATCAGAAAAATGAAAGCACTGGCAACTGTTTTTTTTTTCCCCCAATGCCCTGCTTAGCTACAGTACTCACTTCAAATCCAACCCACCTCAGATATTAGCCAGGGCAGATATTTTGCAAAATGCTGAGATTGGTTTAATCTCTCCTTTGGCGCTGGATGGGGTAGGATAAGAAAAAGGAGAAAAACTAAATAGTACTCTATTGTGTGTAATATACCACATTTTCTGTACCCATTCATTTGTTGATGGGTACTTAGGTTGATTCCATGTCTTGACTGTATGAATCATGTTGCAATTAACATGAGAGTTTGTTTTTTTTGTTTTGTTTTGTTTTTTGACATATTCAAAAATTCAGATTTGTACCAAACACGTTGACTAGGCTGGATGTGACCTTCATCATGCTCTTCACCTAGACAGTGCCAAAGATTATAGCTGCAAGTCTGCTAAATGTTCTCCCAGTTCCTTCCTGCAAATTCTAATCACATTCTGATATTATTTCCTCTGCCCTGAATTTTTTTGACATATTAATTTCATTTCCTTTGAATATATACCTACAATGAGACTGCTGGATCATATGGTATATCCTAATTCCTTAACTCCCTCTTAATTTTCTATTAAGAACAGCTTTCACTGAAAATTCATAAACCTGTTATGTTCCCAACCTCTGCCACAGTGGGGAACAAGGAGTTCCACTAAACTTCATTGGCTCTTTGATGCATAAAACAGGACTTTACCCTGAGCAGCAAGAAAGCTTATGGAACCAAGTTCATAGAGACACATAGAGCTGCCTCTTGGTGAATGACAGTGGGCAGCTTCTGAGGCAGCCAGGGCCCAGTCCACAGTGCAGCGTACTCACCGAGATCTTAGTAAATATGTAGAGAAGCAGGGACAGAACGGAAAGGTAAATCTGGATCTGCTTGCCTCCAAACCTCTTCCGCAGGTACTCTGGCATTGTCACTACCTGCATGGAATGCAAGAGAGGTCATCACCAGCTAGAATGACCAGAGAGCCCAGAGAACACAGAAAAAATGAGAGCCATCTTGGTGTTAGATTCATAATAGTATGGTCAAGGATTCATTATCCTTGTTGGCCTGGGAAATCTACAAAATGGCCAGGTGACCACAGACATTCAGCCATTTGCTCATTTCAATCTCACCTGCCCTACCACTATAGGAGTAGCTAGGCATTATCCCAGAACATAGAAAGTGCCAAATAAACACCTGTTTTTGAATGAATACATAACTGGACTTAACTAAGGAAGCAGATCATTGTCCTGAAGAGGAGGGGAAATGTACATATATAGATATAGACATATAGAGAGGGATATATTCCTATATAGAACACCTACTGAAAAACAAGACATCATAACATGGATGGCATCTTGCCAGTGTACCAAACTAGTCAACTAGATTGGGTGTGAACTTCACTATGCTCTTCAGATAGGCAGTGCCAAGTATTGTAGCTGTAAGTCTGCCCAAATGTTCTCCCAGTTCCTTCCTGCAAATTCTAATCACACTTTCAATATCACTTTTTCTGACTCCAGCCTCTTGTCCTCTGGAACCAAACATGTCACCATCAATCTGTGAGTCTATAGGAGATATAGCACCCTCCCTGTTTTTTCCACATTGCTTTTAGCTTCTAATATGTAAATTTACATATAGGAGGTGCTCAGTATATCTCACTGAACAGGTATGTAAAATGTCTGAGAGACATAGTCAGGAGACCAAGGATGCATTTGATAGTTGAGTACCAGCTGCATGCTCAGCAAATAAGAACTACTGATGTACATAAATAAAGAGGAAACACAGTTCTTTTTCTCAATCTTCTTCCTTTCTAAAGGCAGAACATTTACATAGTTGTACATCAAGAGCAAATGCATGGCCATGTAGTACAGGGACACACCCAGAGTGAGGGGACAGGATGTTTCAGAGGGGTTTGAATAGTGTGGGATTTCTTAGGAAACCTTCTCAGAGGGAAGAGTCATGAGTCTTGACAGAAAAGAGCCAGTGTCACTGTTCAGTGCCCCTAGGGAGCCAGAAACTATTTTACAACCTAGAACTAAAAACAAACACAGGTTATCTTTGCCATTTATTCCACAAAGTCTCCTCTGTCATCCAGAAGGATCAAATTCATGTACGTGTGTGTGTGTGTGTGTGTGTGTGTGTGTGTGTGTGTGTATCAACAGGTAATGGAACAACAGAGTGGGTACTTACCCCAGCCTTTATGTAAATGGGAACAAATATCCAGCCCAGCACAACCACCAAAAACAGGGCCTGAAACCAAAAGAAGAAGTAGATTCAAATCAGGAGGAAACTTAACCCATCCCTACTTACCTGAAGGACCCCTCAGCTGCTGCAGAAAAATCACCCAGCACTTTGTTTTTTGGATTGAAGAACAACTCTTAGGTGGCCATTAGAGACTGTAGGATGCCTTAGTTTCCCAATTGGCCCAAAGAAACAGAAACTGGGCAAGAGCAGAGGAAACCCAGGAAGCTATTGCTATCATCACAGCCCTGGGCCCCAGCCAGAGGACTGAGATCTCCTTTGACTCTTCCTTGTATTACACAGGGGTAAAATACCATTTAGAGAATAATAATAATAATATCTGGTGATAAGCATTTCCAAACTTCTAACATGGCTAGAAAGGTACTGGGGCCTTATCTTTTTAACACCAAAAGGAAAGAGAAAAAATACTCTTACCATCCTTCAGTGTATCTCCCATGCTACTCTGGTGGAAGGAAAGCAGAACGCCTGGGCTTCTAAAGCCATGCTCCTCCATCTGCATCCAGGATGGCTCTGAGGAGTCCCCTAGTATTTGAAGCTCCTCTGGACATCAATTGACCTGGCTAAGTGCTAAGGTTCTGCTATAGCTTGGGTATTGTTTAGCATGTCCCCTAAAGGTTCATGTATTAGAGGCTTAGTCCTCAGCATAGTGGGAGGTGGTGGAACACAGTATGAGGCGGAGCATAGTATGAGGTTCTTAGGTCACTGTGAGTGCTGCTCATGGAAGGGATTAGGGTAGTTCTGGAGTGACCCCTTGGTAGTTATAGAAAGTGTTATAAATGCCTGACTCTGGCCCCAGCCATCTCTCTGACTTCTTATTTTGGGTGATATTACCTCTCACACACGATGCTGCTATTGACTTCCACCAGGAGATGCCACAGTCAAGTGGGTCCCTTACAAGGACCTGCAACATGTTGCTTGGACTTTTGACTTTCAAAACCATTAGCTAAATAAACCTCATCTTCATAAACTTAGCTGACAACTGGTATTTCATAATAGTAACTCAAAACAGAACGGTACAGGCTCTTTTCCACTTCTCCAACACAGTGGCACTGATGCTACTCACATTCCATTCAAAGGCTCCAGTGGCAATCCCTGAAGCTGCTCCAGTCCCAGCCAGCCCCACAAAGTGGCCACTTCCAATGTTGCTGGCGAAGAGAGAGGCTCCAATCTGGAAACACAAAGATAAAGTCAGGTGAAGACTCTATACATGACTGGGACATTCCGGGTAGGCCAAAGAAAGAAGAAACACGCCATCCCAAAGAGGACAACTGAAACTTTGTGCTAGAATTTGTTGATACCACAAGCTCCCAAGGCAGACATGGGGACTTGGGAAATAGTGGAGATGAAAGGAAAGAATTGGCAAAGGAGCAGATGATCCCCATATCAGATCATCTGTAAGTCTTTTGTGAGCCTAATGTCCACTAGTGAAGATGATGGGAAGACATACATCATGCCAGGATCCTCTAAAAGTCCCCTGCATTCAGGGCCTGTACCATTCATGTCTGTGTTCTCAGCATGCCTGGGGGCTTAGAGTCTTGTCCAACATTGGCTTTCAGTAAATATAGATAATGTTCTTAAAAGGAATTATTTAAAAGAAGCCTCTGGGTCTTGGTCACCTTGTCAAAGAACAAGGGGCATGGAGCTGATAATTTCAGAGTGATTCCTACTAGACTATGTAATTTCATGTGGTGCCAAGTAGCAAAAGATAATATTAATGATAACACAAATTTTCTAAATCCATAAAGTATTTTTATTTTTAAAAAAGGGCAAGGTGGTGCACACTTGCAATCCCAGCAGCTTGGGAGGCTGAGGCAGGAGGATCACAAGTTCAAAGCCAGCCTCAGCAATAGTGAAGTGCTAAGCAACTCAGTGAGACCCTGTCTCTAAATAGAATACAAAAAATAGGGCTAGGGATGTGGCGCAGTCATTGCGTGCCCCTGAGCTTAATCTTCGGTACAGAAAAAAGGTGGGGGGCGGGTGTTGAGATTGTACAGAAAATGCACAAAACACTGCAAGGATATACATATTTAAGACATAGATTAGAATTCAGATTGGAAGGACATATTTAAATACCCAAGAGTGGAAATCTAAAAGGAGAAAGGAGAATGTGACTGTGAATAGGAGTCACAGAAGAAAATACCAAATGAAATAGGAGGGATCTTGCACTGACTAATCCTAATACTGTGCCACCAACTCAACTGCATCTGAGATCCAGAATAACTCCAGAGAGTTCTAGAGTCTTCCTATAAGCAGGAGCATAAGGAACAAAATCATTTGATAAGTACAATGTGGTTATGTCCTAATAAAGCCATCCTAAATTGAAAATATTTTAAGTCCAAAATGCATTTATTTAATGCACCTGACCTGTTGAACATCGCAACTCAGTCTGGTATATTTTACTAAAAACTATATTGAAAGTTAAAAACAGAATGGTTGTATGGCACAGTTTCATACCACAATAAAGTTGAAAGCATTATTAAGTTAAGTGATCAAAAGTTAGGGACCATCTGCATAATTATCCCCATCTTTGCTAAACAGATAGAAGGATGTTTGCAGTTGTTTGTTTATTTTCCTTAAAAAGATTCAAATCTGGAAGAAAATATGTATTTCCCCAAAGAGAGATTACTCCAAGAAACTGTCCTAACTATTCCAGCCCCTTTCCCCAATATAAGGCAGATGGTACTCAGTGCTAAATACTAAGTCATAGGACAGGGCTATCTCTGAAGGCCCAGGCAAAAGGAGGCCTTAGAAAGATGAGGAGGAAACAGTGGTGTAAATGCATTCATTCATTGGCCCAAACAATGTTAACTTAGCAGCTATTAAATGTGTCTAGTCCTATTCTAGACACTGGAGATCGAGCCACAAATAACATAGATGAAAATATTCACAAGAAGCATAGTAAATAAAGAACACAGAAAGAAAGGTCAGAGAGTGGTTAAGTGCTGCAAAGAGAATAAAGTAGGGGGAGCAAGACAGAGAGGTTAAGTGTCAGAGAAATTCCCTTGGTGGAGGCAATCTTTAAATTGAGATCTAAAGGATACAAGCTACCTGTGCAGAGGTCAGGGAGAAATCATTCCAACAAAGCAAAAACTTCCAAGTGGGAGAGGCATGCATAGTTGAGAAGCATAAAGACCAGAGGAGAGTGGAGTAAGGTAGGCCAGGAAGAAGGTGGTGTGAGATGAGCCTGAATAGTCAGGAGGTGCTGGGTAATGGAGATGCTGGTAAGTTAGGACAGGAGAAGTGGATTTTATTTTAAGTAGATGGGAAGCCAGTAGAGGGTTTTAAGCAGAGAACGGACAAGATCTGATTTGTTTGTAAGGATATCTCTAAATTATGTGTGGAGTATAGGGTTGGAGGGGTGAGGAGAAAACTGAGAAACCAGGTGTGAGGCTATCTCTACATCTAGGTAAGGATGGATGGTGGGTTTATCTAGGTTGGTAGGAGTGGAGATAAAGTCAAGCAGAGAGGTTGAGGGTAGGTTTTACAAAGTCAACAGGCTTTATTTTGATGAATTTGATAAGAGAAAGAGTAATTCTATGATTTAGATTTGAGTAACTGAGTAGATGCCGTTCATTTAGAATGAGGAAGCGGGAAGGCAGGTAGTTTAGAGATATCAGCCTGTGTCTATTCAAAGCTTGATGAGGATAAAAGTCTACTTTTAATAAAAAGAATGTTCCTAAAATGGCCCAAATCTAGAATAAAACATGTATCTCCCAAAATACATGTCCTAACGATAACCGGTCCTGATGCATTATCTTTTCATTTATCATCAATCACTTGATAAATTATTAAGCCTAATGCCATACTATTATGGACAATTTAGAACTTAATTATCAGAATGATTAACTGGATTAGATTAATCTTAAATTCAAGAGGTCCTCTCTAATATCCCTCACTTGAAGGGAGATGTTGGACTTTAAGACATCTCAGGCTGTCCTGTCCCCGCCCAACAATCAGAGTGCGATAAGATGTAGATAGGAGTGCTTTGGGTGCTAGAAGGTTGTGGGACCAGGTTAGTTTCACTTCTGTCAGAGACACATCCTCAGTTTTTTCTGCTCTCCTTCCTTTGACCCCAGAGCTCACAATCATTTACCAAAATGCTGACTCTACCTTCATAATGTCATTGAATCTAGCACTATCTATATCAACCTTGGCTGCCTACCATTCCCCACAACCTGACTACAAAATATTCTTCCAGATGTTCTCATGGATCTCCCTCCTATCTGTCACTTCACCCACCACCCACATGGACAGTTACCTACCAACGCAAAACTTCGATCATGTCACTTCACTCTTCTTTGTTGTTGTTGTTTTTAAATATACATGACGATAGAGTGTAGTTTGACATGTTACAAATACATGGAGTATAACTTATTCTAATTGAATACCATTCTCAGATTCTCCCAGACCCTACTTCTCCCATAGACCTGCCAAGCAGTCTTACTGACAGCTTCAGGCTTAAAGACATTGTCCTAGGTATTCAGCAGGATTTCAAGGCAAAGTTCCATCCAGTGTAAAAACAGCATGAACTTAAAAATTCCAGTTGGAATGCTTTCTTTAACCCTTACTATCTGGGTGCATATAAGATCTGTGAGCCTCCCATCTTCTCTCATGACTGGCTGTGCAAGAGTCAAATGAGATGCTGAATCAGTAATGACTGGCACTCAGCTGGTTCTAAACAGCTGTCCCTTCTCTCCTTTGTCCTCCCACAAGGACAATAATGTCACCCTAAAGGATATTCACAAGACCTACATTGGACACCATTATGGACTGTCCTGTGTTCCTTCCCACAAAACTTATGTATTGAATCCTTAGACCCCAATATGACTATATCTGGAGATAGGCACATAGTGGATATAATAAGATTAAAGGAAGTCATGGGGTAGGGCCTTATGATATTATAGAACTGGTGTGCTTACAAGAACAGGAAAAGATACCAGGAATCTCTCTTTCCTTGCACACAGGAAAAAAAAAGGCCATGAGAATACAGCAAGAAAGCAGCTGGAAAGCTAGAACAAGAGGATTTGCCAGAAAACAACCCTGACAGTTCATTGAAGAGTTAGCCCTCAGAGTGTTAGAAAACAAATTTCTGTAGTTTAAGCCTTCCATCCTGTGATATTTTGTTATGGTTGCCTGAGAAGCCTAAGATAGACACCATTGCTTTATCACCTATGCGCCACTGCCAGATTGTCATACTGTTCCTCTGTTCACAGGAGCTTATTAATGATAATTTATCACAATGATTTCCTCAACACTATCTCTCCACTCCACCCATGTTCATGCCCATTTGGGAATCACACCCCCTCTAGAGAGTAAACCAATGACATGAATCATGTTCTTCTCTGCAATTTCCTCCGCCATCCCTTCTGAATTTGGGATTTAGACTTTATCTAAAATTTCTCCAGCTTGACCTTGCTTCTGACTAGCAAACCCTCTTCATCCCCTGATGGGGTGAGAAAGGCTGTTATATACATTTACACAGTTTTACTGCCACTGTGCTTAAGGATCTGTGTCAGACCAAACCCAGCAGGTTTGATGGGATGGTAATTGGGAAGATAACATAATGTCACACCACAAAAGGCAAAAAGACTATGTGGTTCCTTTTGCCTTTAGGAAATTCATGATCACATTTGACTGCCTACATTTCCTGTCCAACAAGGTTGGCAAAAAAGAAGATAGAGAAATTAGAGAATCTCCCAGAATTTGATGGATCCACACATATCAGCTTGAGTCCCTCTTGCAACACCTTCCAAGTGATGGTCAGCTGCATACACATCTCTAACAAGAACTCCCCACCTTTTCAGGCAGCTGAATCTATGGTAGAACATTTAATTTTTTTTATTAAGACTCTCTTTACCTTGACCTGAAACTTACCCATGTCCTACTTCCACCCCAGTGATACAGAACAAGACAAATCTCTCTTCCACAAGCTCTTACTATATCTAAAGACAGAGGTAACACACTCCCCTCTTATTCTCCAATCCAAGCTTCCCCTTTCTGTATGTCTGCTTCTCCTTAGTCATGGACTTGAATCTCATCACCCTGTTCCTCTCTGCTTCCCTTAGTCCCTTTCTCTCCCCAAGTGGGCCTCAAAACCAAGTAGATTAATCTAGACATGAGCTGTCCAGAATGAGACAGGATGTCCTTCTTGCCTTTCCATCTGGCTTT